TGGCAGCTGAGGCTCCGTGCATATTCTTTGAATTTATTTGCGAATTCAATATTAAACTTAAATTCGAATCGAATCAAAATGCAGAAATTGAATCGATTGCCGTACACTTTTCAATGATCACATCTACGCAACCGTTTCATGTGTGTTTGTAATTGACAATGTCATAAATGAATTGTAACCAGACAAATTTCCATGTGCGGAAACACCTGTGTGGAATGTGGAAATTTAATAATTATTGTAATTCAAATCTGGCCACCTTCAAGCATCTTTTCTCGAATTGCACCATTTCTCCACGACTTTTTTCCAATTTACAATTGTAATTGTATAGTGAGGCCAATTTAACTGTTCAATGTTACTACTAGCATTCAGATTGGGAAAAAAATCCTATATGAAATATATGTTATGCGAAATAGATATGAATTGCTTACATAAAAATGCATCAACCGGAGATCATTGCTGCGGTCAATAATGGCATGGTTGCATTTAATTTGAATTCAAGGGAACAAATAAAGCTCATTGAACTCTGTGCGTATGAAATTGGATAAAGGAAAAGTGCCGCCACCAAAATCCAATCGCCTCACCATTGGATGGAACCGTTTTCGAAATTACGATATCTGTAGGTTTCACACAGCTAATGATACTACAATTTGTATTCAAAACCACACAATTTGGTCGAAAGAGAACAAAAACACTATTTTTTTTTCATGAATCATCGTAATCTTTGGGCCTCGGTCATGGAAAATTGATGTCGCCCATCACGTCACTGAATCGAAACGCAGCAGAAGCGACATTTCAATTGTGATGAATGCCAATTGCTTTTTTTGTACCTCAATCGGATGTTCAAGTTCAGTTCACAATATTTCAAGTACAAGCAGCAGCCGAACAACACACAGTAGCCATTTACGGTAGTCGTACACGCGTATGAATTTGTGGAAATTCATTAATGTTGTCAGTTTCTTCAGTCAGCTGTAATATTTAGTCAGCTGTAATTGCTAATAAAATTGACAACTTCGCAAAATGAAGAAAAAAACATCGTGTAGTTTTAAGTTAATGCTCACAAACCACCGAATCACACACCATAGGTTGAATGACACCCAGAATATTTATTAACTTTGTCTGATTCATACACATTTACACGTTTGTACATATGATTTTTCGACATCAAGTTCATTTCAGTTCCGAATAAATGTGGTAACATAAGTTTCGTCATCATATCGAATAGTTTTCGTCATCATTTACCAAGTCATTTGCACACTCGAACATGTTTAAAGTATGATACAATGCAGACGGCATGTGATGTCATTAAATGACAAACTTTGGGAAATTCATTGCGGTGACATCATTTGTGGATTGTGTGTGTGTGTTTCAGAACGTAGAATGTAATCGATTGTTATTTTTCATCTTTTTTTTTTGTTATTCACAATTTTGTATTTCCAATCTCATCGGTTGAATTTTATTATCTTTATGACTTTTCTGCACGAATCCGTTCGATTTATTAGATTCGATTAAAATGCCAATAAATAGAGATGCTACGCAAACAAGTAGAAGACGCACTCATTTTGTATGACCCTGGATGTGGTTGAAAAAAAAACACATTTATTATGGCAATTCGCCGGTGAATAAATGTGGCGGGCGATGCTGTGCGAAGTGCACATAATGTGTCATGCAAAACGGCCCATTTGACAGTGAAGCATGTTAATGCGTTCGTGGTGAGCGGCGATTGTAGAACAGCAGGTCTTTTGGTCAAATATTTCAGACGCCCATTGAAATACAGAAAAAAATTAAAGAAAATGCAATTCAGTCTATCCAGACCCTAATGTTTACTACGCATGGCTTCGATTTGAATAGATACAAAAAAATGCATACAAAAAAACACTGTCACCGCAATATGGATCGTAATAAGAGTCTCTGTGAAAGTAACAAGTAACTTCCACGAGCAAAGAGAGACGTAAAATGTGTCTACACAAATGCCTCGACTATTATCGATATTATTATTATTGTGTCGCGCTGCTGCTGTTTCCCGAAGACTCAACTCTTTTCATGCTGCATTGAATATTGGCGACATTGAAAAGCCTTGGATTCCATTCCAGAAAGCGGGTGTCCGCTTATGTCGTTTAATTGTTCAAGGTATTTCTCGTATGGAAAGCATGATGTTTTTGCTGCTGCTGCTGCTTCTGTGAATCACTTTAGTATACGAACGCATTCTCTCTCGCACGCATGTAGCTTTGCGACTCGATCTAAAATAATGAATCATTTGGGGAAACTTTATAACATCCGCATTTTGAGCATCTTCTTAAACTAAATCAACCATCAAACTGACTGAATTAAACACGATACACATGTGGCCATTGCGTGTATCATATACCAACAATGGATTCGAACTGAAAACATCAGCAAAACAACCAGGAGTTCCGAATTGTCGAACAATGTCGACAACGACGATGATGACGACACATATACGTGGTATGATATTAAAAAATGAAAACTCACACTTGTCACATTGATATTGTAATTATATTTCATAGCACCATGACAGTTGGGAATTACAACACGAAAGGAAATGAAAAAAAAAACTTAATGGCTTTTATTCGTATGCGAAATGACTGCAAAGTGAGGTGCTGTAGGCAAAATTCAAAAACATATATAGATCATTTTTGTAAAAAAATATTTTAACAGCAACATTCGGATAAATCAAACTTCTCAGCTTGAAGTACACAGGATTCGGATTAAATTCTGCGTACACCTGGTTTATTGCGAACACGCAAAATATAAGTATTTTTGTTTTCAATTAATCGATTTAAAACAAAGCAACAAGACTGGTTTCCACGTCTATTTTATTATTTTCATTTTCATTTTTTTTGTTATTGTTTTTTGTCTCTCTCTCTCTCATTCTTTCTCGTATGAGTCCATTCAACGTCGAGTCAACCCGTTATTATGTGATTGAATTGATTTGTGTGGCGCTAGGGTTTAATGGTAAAACAAATAAACGAACCTAATGAGCCCATTGCTTTTGGATTGGATGGAGAGTACGCGCGCGTGTGTGTTTGATTGAATGTCATTAATTTTTTTTTCATCTTTCAGCTTGTAATGAAATTATAGCAGAGTTCATAGTTCAATTCATGGTCATGTCAAGACAAAGCGAAATGAAATAATTGCACAGCTTATCGTCGTCGCCATCATCAAATCGAATTGTTCATTTTGTAAACATTCTACTGGTTTTCATTTTTGTGAGTATGCCCAGCCCAGTCACCCTGGAATTCATTTGGTTAAGTTGTTTCTAGCCACAAAAAAAATATATGAACACCGGTAGCACTTAAAATTAAGTTTTCATTTCCAGTGATTGCCACCAATTGGTCAAACAAATTGACTTTACGACTAATTTTGTTTCTGATGTAGACGCAGACAAATAAAACAGGTTAGGTGAACGAATAACGTTTCCATATAAAAAAGGAATTTAAAAAAAAAGAGTTTAATTTCATTTTTATCTGATATAAACACACACTTATTGAATAAAAATTATGATGGTCTTCTTTTTAATGCACTGCTTGTACGAGCGTCATATCAGTTGAACTAGTCGGAAACAATCTCATTCGACTGAATCGCATTCAAAGTAATAATCAGTTGATAAAAAGATGATTTTCTTTCGAAGAATCCAATAATTTGATAGTTGCCAACAGTATGAAGTTGAACTGATAATTAATCAAGCCATTTCAATTGGAATATGAGAACAACAAACATTTTTAATACAGAAAAGGTTGTTTTGTAGAGAAAATATGCATTCTAGCTGGAATTTTTATAGTTTTACTTGCCTTAACTGTATATGTAACGAACTATTTTTTTCACATTTTTTTGCCGAAAAAAACATGAATTGGGCACGCTTACGATATTGACTTAAATTCACCTAATGTGGGTTGTAGATAAGAAAAAAGTTAAACCAAAAAATCAGTTCCAACGCAAAATACAAAATGAAATCCCTTGAAAAATTTGAAAAAATTCTGCTTCCAGTGAGAAATAAAAAATTAAATGTCACTGGAATTTCGATTTTTCATGTGAAGTCAATATCAATCGCCGGTGGATCGATTGAACCCATGGACGATTTTTCTTGAGATATTCGGAGAGTTGTTGGTGCTTTGAACTTCCTCAGTTTTCATTCGTGTGGAAGAAAAAAAAAGTGCGCTAGGAACGATTTGTAGCCTCCTTAGCTCAGGGGCAGAGCGTCGGTCTTGTAAACCGAAGGCCGAGAGTTCAATTCTCTCAGGTGGCATTTCTTTTTTTTTTTCATTTCAAACACATAGAACATTCATGAAAATGACTTAGAAGATAAATTTTTTGGCATACCATTATAAAAAAAAAATTATAATCAAAATGGATAATGATAATGCTCATGATTTTGCTTGAAATAGAAACCAAAAAAAAAATTGAAATCATACGTTGTTCCGGTCGGATCGTTTGTAGTTTATTATCCGTTTGTTGCTTAGTCGTGTTCAACAATAAATTTCTTCATTTGATAAGACATTCAAATTAAAGAAGGCAAACGGACAATCGACAAAAATCGACACCAAGCGGACAAATGCTGCCCGTTTGGTGTCGATTTTTGTCGTTTGTCCGTTTTCCACCTTTAGTTTGAATGTGTCAGTTGTTTTGTTGTACTCGCACCCACAATGTTCATTTATTTTTAAATGCTTACTTGTTCTAGAAGGGAAATAAAATAACTAAAGCATTACTTACGTTATTCATATGTATTTTGCTGGTTTTTCTTATTTTTCTTAAAACGAAATTGAGTCATCCAGTTCGCTGACATGGTTGATTTGATTTCAATTCATTTTTGAACAAATTGAAAATATCGAACAAAACATTTGGTTACAATACAAAAAGATCATTTCTTTCACTGTTGTCCGCGGATGCAGATAAAATACAGCTGCCACTTGTGTGTGGCTGAAATTCTCCTAAAATCTTCTGCAAAAGCACAATTGTGTTTGCGTCAAGCAAAAAAAAATAACTGCCACTTAGAGGAATCGAACCTCTGACCGCTGCTTTACGAGAGCAGCGCTCTGCCTCTGAGCTAAAGTGGCATGTGATTTTCGTATAATCGATTTCAGTTAGATAATGCGCCAAGCGATTCATACAACGCTTCATACACGCGCGAACGGGTATAAAGACAGACACACGCGTTGTCAGTCAATGGTGCAATGACAAGTGATTTGCGCATTGGCAAACAGACTTTTCCGTGTATCTCTGAAATTGGAGTTGGAATTGAAATTGAAATTGATGAATAATATTTTCGATGGAAATTGAAGGAGAAGAATCTCATGAACGAAAAATGAACAAAATGTTGTGGAAATGTAAATTCATGGTACGTGCATGCGCGTGTGCGCAATCAACGTCATCGGTCTACAGCTATTAACTTTTTGTCAATAAATATTTATATGGTCTCTAAGCCTTAAATTGCCGTTTTCGCTTTTCTTTCTTTTAAACACGTATGGTTTTTATTTCGTTTTTTTAGAATTTGTAGCGATTTGAACATACATTTTCCATAGACCCATATATTTTAATAGTATTATCAATGGTTTTTTTTACATCAGCAAATGCACTATAATTATGGTTTATCGTCTCTTTATCACCTAGACTATGAATACAGCTATACGCTACTGGCCGCAACGTAGTCTACAGTCGACATCGAATATATTTCCTTACAAACGAAAACAGTTCAATCGTCATTTATCCACAGTATACAAATAAACCGAGATAAGAAAAAAATCGCTGGAGGTTTGAACATTTCCAGTGGACAAGAAAGCAATTTTAAAGCAGCCGAATAACATGAATAGAAAATAGACGCACACACAAGAAAACTGTATCCGATTTGATGAGGTAGACGATTGGAATCGAAATCTGTGTACACTTGGCTTTATCATATCGTGTGCAAAATAATCATAAATTTAGCACACGGTACGTGGTCGCTAAAGTAACAATTTTACCCACAAGAAATATGCATAGAATCGCATAAATAGACATCGACACTGCACGGATAGATGTTGACCATACAACAACAACAGCGACTGAATAAGCCCCAAAGAAATCTTAAAAATGACCGACTAAAAGAGTTGGCCATCGCATGATATGAAATGAAATTCAACTTCGATAAATACAACAACCGGCAATGTACTATTTCTCCATTCGAAGCATTTATGAATAGCAATGTATTTTCTTCTTCTTCTTCTTCATCTTCCTCGCGCAATGCAAAATGTATCTTTCAACGAAATGTACACATTCAAGGGGGCTGTGTGTTGGCAAGAGGCCTTACTTTGTTACCTTGTGAGGAATAGTGACGGCAATAATTTCATTGATGAGAGCAAAACCATTTTTTTTGGGTGCGAAAAGAGGATGTCTTTTTTTAGCAGCAGCTAAAACTAACAACAGTGATATTTCAATACGTGGGTGAGAACATAGTCTTCAAATATTATTTTGATTCGATTCGTTTCGATTTGGCGCAAAAATGTGTTTTTTTTTCTCGCTACAATAACCAAACCATATGGGTACTTCCGAATGGCTTTAATTAAATATGTAAATAAAAACATTCTGTTATTCAGAATATTGCATCCGAATGGCATTCCTTCTCATGCCATTCAAATTCATGTTGATTCAATGTTGTGAAACACATTAGAACATCTATGATTTAACACATAGAATAATTATATCATGTTAATCCGAAGACTGTGCACGGTGGATACGCGCGCATGCGCAACAGTTCCATCATCCGTTTTATGTTTATATGTGATAATAGTGAATATTGTTGTAATTCATTCGTATGTCACAGATGCGCTGCATGTGATTAGCAGCTATTCAATCACTTGCATTCATTAATCTCGTTTCATCGGAAAGAAAACACATTCCAATGATCGAACGATTGAAACAGATTTTTTTACGTTTAACAATCGCTAATATTGGTTCGAGAGCAGCTCTCTATGGTGTTGCTGATGCTGATATGAAATAATTTATGTGATTCACACAATTCATTCCCACGTGATGGGTGCTATAGCTTTCGTAGTCGAGACAAAAGCCATTCATTTCTATGAAAACAAAATGCTCCAACAACTCGATTCGGACTTTTATTTTATTTTTTTTTAAATAAAAAAACGGGAACAATTAAGCGTTTAAACGGAATTGGAGGTGTCATAATTCTATGCAACTATGAAAATCTAAATGCAATTTCAAAATTACAAGCCACAAAATTATTCTCTGGACAGCAGATCGGTTCAAGGCGATGCAAAAAATATTTCTTAAGCGCATTTCGATTGACTTCGGGCGATTTTTTAAATGGAATTGATGAGCATGCATTTTACTTTGATTGACACATTTTTGCATAGTGCACACGGATCTATGAATGTTTTCAATATGTTAGCAGCACACATCGAATGGACATTGAATTATGGATAAAACGAATAATCATATGTACAGCAGAACATCAGAGAATTACACGTAAAATAATAAAAAAAAATAACTTTTACATCTGTTCCATACAGCAATTTTATCGCCAAGTTTGCGTTTCAAGCGTGAAATGATTGATTGGCTTGAAACTGCATTTGAAAATGTATTTTTTTCGCCACAATAAAAAGGAACACAACAAGTACGAGTTTTCGGTTCGATCGTTCACGCAGGGACAAACCGGTGGCGTGTGAAATGAACATTCAACTTTTTGGTCTGCTAGTTTGAAGTTTGACGACGACTTTGAACGGCACTTTGATCAAGTGCTATAATACTAATGTTGTCTGAAGTATCCACTATTTTGGTAACTATTTTACACCAAATTTCGGTGCTTTTCTGATTGTCAACAATTTCTTTTTGCGGGCACTGGCGGCACATATATTTTAATTGAAAGAACTGGATCATCTGGTGGCGGCAGCAGCAGCGGCGCCGGTGGCTTTATTATTCGTTTGATCAAAGACAATCAATGCAGCCAGACAGACCGTTGGTAAAGTGAAAACGAGCGGTTAGACCGGCGATAAAAGACATCGATATGTGTCGGGATTGACTTTGTTAACCTAATCATGAAATTTCCGGAGTAGTCACAATATCACTCATCAAGTTGCCAAAGAATGGACATCGATATAGTTATATTAAAATAAGTGCCACTGCTTGAGGCAACGATATTTTGATTAAGTATCAAATTGTACTAATTTTTCACGAAATCAAGTAAGCTAATTGACTGCAATCATGGTTACTTAGTATTTTATCAATTATTAATTAGAAACTTAAAAGTTTTTCTTATAACGATCAACTTTTGAAAAACAGTGCCATCTATGATAATAGGTCCAAATTAATTGATTGTATGTAATAATGCATAATAACAAACAATAATAGTCTGTTTTATTTCTTGGGGAAAATATCACAAAGAAATAAAATCATTCTCGTTTGCAAATACGTTACCATTAAATTGTTAGCTTACACTTTTGATTTGGAGAAAATTTGACGTCATCACAAAAAAATGGTGCGGTAATAAATGTCATCATCTGTGCTCTGCTGAGCATTTACAGACATCAACACCAGTATGCGCTAGCGATGAATTTTGCGTTCATGTAGGATTTTGAACGACAGTTGGGATTTGAAAAATTCAGTCGATAGAGGTGATTTTGGTCGCGGCTGAAGTGAAGTGCAGCTTCAGGGTTAAAATACAAATTTTAAATGTGCTTGTACAATTTTCACACGAAACCAAAACCAAATACAGATATTTTAACGTTAGAAAATTGTAACGAATCAATAAATTGTGAAAATATTTGTGAATTTATTCGAGGGAAAGATCATAAATATAAATTGTTGGTGCGTGAGTGATTCGATGTTGCAGTGTAGTGATTTGGATACATAAAGGCACAGACAGACTCATGCATACATGCACATACCGAACACCACACACAGTGACACATTGACATAGACAGTTCATTTGAGTTCAATTGCGTGTTGGTATACACAGGCGCAAGTCCACCAAGTTCATACATACATGCGCAAAATAGGCACACAAACGTACGCGCTACACGCACACACACAAACACACACACACACCCATATGAAACACATTGGACTGAATAGAGTTTAGCCGCGCAAAGAAATCATACGTAAAGAAGGAACTCAAAACAACAGCGTAATGAACATTGCAACAGTATTCAAGCAATCGACAACAACATCGGCGGCACGAATGTCGACCAGCCGAATTCATCATCGTACCGAATTGTCAACGTTGAGCAGCATTGATAATTTGAAACGGAAAAAAATCAGCGGTCAACTGCCGCAACATCAACAGCAGCAATCAGTGTGTAGAACGCAAACCAAATCGAGTGTGCTTATGGAATCAAATTCGGTATTGAACGTCGTCCAAGAACTTGGCAATGATCATCGTCATCGTCATCAGCATCGTAGAAACAGTTTGAGCCTGACAGATGAGCGGCTGCTCAAAATCTTATCAGCACCACCCGACGAACCGCTCTATATCAACAATAAAGCGACGTTAAATGGCAACGATATCAGCAGCAGCAACAGTCCTGGTGACAATTTACTGATACAATATGAAGCGGCTACGACGACGTCATCGATTGTTGCCGTGGATGATTACGAAAACTTGCCGCCAGCCGATAAATGCGCGGTGGCCACCACCAATATTGAAGGTTACACTCAATTTCATTGTGTGTGTTGCAGTAGATTTATTACAGTTTTTCTTTCTCGGTTTTGTTTTGTTTTCGTTTTCATATTGCGGTGGCACATTCAATTTGCTTGTCGATTGAGTCAAACGTGCGAGAACATGTAATATCGTAGTATACTCGAAATTATCATATACGCAATACCTCTATTGGCTTTTGTGCTAATTTTGTATGCAATCGGTTAATTTTATTTTGAGTGACATTTTTTTGTTGTTGTATGTATGTTTCTCTACGACGGCCGTGTTATTCTTTTTTGTTGTTGTTGCTACCGTTGTGTGTTTACTCAACCTCTTTTTATTCCATTTTTTTTGCCAAAAAAAATTGCAAACACAAACGATTAATATACATGTTGTTTCAATCTGTGTGTTTATTTTCCTCTTTGTTTGTTTCTTCTTCTTTCCATTTCTTGTTTTTTATATATTTTTCTTGTTTTGTTATATTCCCCTTTTTACGTTGTGTATGCGCGATTAGTTTCAATTTTAAGTTTACGTAGATTTGTCGTAGACAAGATAACGACGACGCACGACGGCAAATCAATTGACGAGAATACTTGTGTTATGCGTGTCTTCTCTCTAGGATCATAAATGTCAATCGATTCAACAGATACGAATGAATCGATTTTTTTTCTTCGATCGATCGTTCGTTTGTTCGATCAATCTTGGGCTGAGCCACATTTGTTGTCGTTGCATTTCTCAACAACACTCGCACAAACTGTCAAATTGAAGTGTATCTGTTTTTTTCTTCTTTTTTTTGAAACCATTTCTGTCAATGAACCAGCTGATTTACACGTGTATATTCCTATACATTCCGATACTGCACTCAAAATCTAACTAATCGTTTTGCCTTTCGTTTTATTGCTGGTTGCAGATGGGAACATGGAGACGATGACTTCGACGCCACAACGGCGTTTCGGTACAGCAGCATGGAATAAACTTCAGCTAGATTTGAACAGTCCATCAGCATCATGCCGTGTGCGCGCTATTCGCGCTATGAAGTAAGTTTCAAAGCAAGTTCAACCCTAAAGTTGCAACAAAAAAAACAACAGAATCAATTGTAAAGTGTAGGAAGTAATGCACGTTAGCAACAAGATCATTTTAAAACATTCTCGATTGATCGATTCGATGTATGTTCATATTATTAGTAGCCCAGCCAACGACAATTTCTATAGCCATTTTGATGTCACGAATGACGCCAGCATCGCCGAAATAGAACGTTCCATTGAAATGCCAAGAACAATTGAAGAGGTGATGAAAGATGTCATTGTGTACGTTGAAGTTCGATCTGGTACGGAAAACCGAACGAGCGGCATAAAAAGTGCAATTGCAAACCTAGGAGCAAAAGTCAACGATCGACTTTTACGGTAAACTTTCAACTCACAAAATTCACCTTATCAACAGTTTTTGTGAATTTTGAATTGATGTGTTTATCTTTTGTTTCCCATCGTCCATGTAGCAATACCACGCACGTTGTGTTCAAAGATGGTCTACAGTCCACATACAACAAAGCCAAAAGCTGGAATATTCCAATTGTGTCAATTTTGTGGATTGAAGCCTGTAAAAAGCATCTGATACTCATGAGCCCAAAGGACTATCCGATATCAAATGTCGAGAAATTTGAAAATCCAGATCTTTATGAAAAAACGAAGGTAACATAGAATCCATATAGTGTATAGTTGTCCATGAATTTGACTATAACCGTGATGTATCATCATACAGCGTCAGAAATGCATTCAACCTGACACATTGATGAAGAATTTGCATCGGCCAATTCCTAAGTCGAAAATTTTGGAGGGCCTCAAGAAAAGCTGTGCAACGCTATCGTCATCTAATGCCACCATCGATAAAACCATGAAGGCATCACCGGCTAGAAAGACCACATCGTCATGTTTGACAACAACAAAATCAACAACAACGGCGATTCAAGCCAGAAAATCGATTGGCAGAAAATTGGCGGTGGACGAGAAGCCGAAAAATACAATTCGTTCCATGTTCAAAAAACAGTTGGAGAAAAGTCAAACTCTAGAGAATTCACAATTGAATGGTGACGCATTGACACTGGATGATGTAGTCGTCACCACACAAAAACCTGTTGGCCAAATGGCTAAGGCCGAACCGGAGGAAAAAGGAGAACAAATTGTCGACAACGTAACAAATGGTACTTGTTTGGTGAGTGGTTCCTTACACAAGCGTCTTACGCGGCGCAACTCAATGTCATTGCAGACGCCAACAAAAACGCCACTGAAATCAAATGCAAACGCAGAGATCTCATCAGTTTTAAGTAGTGTGAAAAAACAACGTCGTTGCACCATGTTCACGCCGTCCAAATTTTCAATTGACGAAGATGATGAGGCCGACGGAAATGGCCGAGATGGAAACCAGACGGTGAATAAAACGGTCGAAATGGAAATATGCAATGGTGTAGCGAATAAGTGCAATAGCAAAGTGCGACAAATTCTCAATACAGAACTGGTTCAGAAGACACCAGTTGTTGGCAAAAAGCCAAACGGGATAGCAAACATGTTTGCACAACCGAATTCAAGTTTGCGTAGACGCACAACTTACACGCCGCAAGTAATGGATGAAACAAAAGTACAAACCACCACCACTTCAAGTACACCAATCTCGTCGTCATCGATAACACAACGTCGAAAAACAATGAATGTAAATGCGATGGCATCAACACCACGTTCCACCAGCACTATTCCAGATGCACTGATTGAAACAAAATCCTGTGATGCAGTCCTCACGCCGACCAACAAACAAATTACCGGTAAGAAACCATTCTTGCCTTTGTTATTCAATTCGATCAAAATTTTAATTGCCACAAATAATTTTCGTTTACATTTAGAACTGGGCACTGCATTTTCCACAACGCCACTCATCCGATCATTGTCGAAAACTCACATAGATCACATCCGTAGCAGTACATCGAAAACGCTGCTAGACGAATACAACGACACATTCAGTTCGAAGAAAACGCCGCTGACTGACAAACGCCGCACTATTGCCAACATCACGATGGACATAATAAAGCAACGCATCGAAAACATCAACCGCAATGCCTCGTTTAATCGGTCAACAACGGATTTTCAAGATGATTCGTTCCACAGCAGTAGCGATGTGAAGGCGACCCCAACGCAGGTGGAAAACACCGAAAAGTTAACAACAACAACAACAACGACCACGACAACGACACCAGCAAATGGAACAAATGGACAATTGAAACCACTTAAACGGAAATTATTCACACAACCATCAATTTTACCACCGAATAGCCCTCTTCCACCAATTGCAACACCGAAGACTGATAAAAAGACTGCAGCAGCAACCCAAAAGCGGAAGCGAACTGACTTAGTGGCAGCAGCTAGTGAGGGGAAAGTGGTGCCGACTGAAAAACCACACCACAGCCATAAGAAATCAAACGCACGCCGCAGTACCATGTTCTTCGAAGAAGCGCCAATTCGTAAGATAAAATGTGATGCATCGGTTTCAACGTCTTCAGCGATTTCTTCAACATCCACATTGACCGCATCGTCCGTTGTGCAAAAAAACAACCCAAGTTTGGTATTCACATCATTTCAAAGTTCACAAATTGATATGATATCAGAGGTACGTCAAGCCTAAAATCTCACGTATCTGTATTTTGCGACGATTTGGTGTATTTGTGTGTGTGATCATAGAAATGTTCGAATAATTCTAGCAATGTAAGACAAAAAAACGTGGCTTTATAATGATATCTCTTTGAAAGTTAACACATACTGTATCAAATCTCCATTTCATTTTGGCTTTTCTTTTCAATTTTAGAAAAATTCCGGTAAAACAAGCGAAATGAGTGATGTTATGATGCAAAGATAAACACGACTATTGAATAGTCAATGCCAATGGTCAAAAAAGATATTCACTTCGAGACCTCATTTTTTTAAATTACAATTTATAAACAAAATCCATTTTCTAGCTAGGCAAATTTTGATAAATACAATTTGTGATACAGACAATGGTACAGTTCAATGACATTTGTCAGTTCAATGGATCGAAATCGATGTTGTTCTTACTTGAAAACATAATTAGCCAATAAAAATTACGATTTCATTCAATCAGAAATTAGCCAAGTAAGAAGCCTAAGCTACATCGTACCCAAATTCATTAAATTATTTTCGTTTTTTTTTCTCTCCATATTAAATATTTTGTGCCTAATACTAATCAATTCGAACAATGTAATTTATGAAACTTGTAATGCGATTTAAAAAAAACATTGAGATATATGCAAAAATGGTAGTTTTATTTAAAGATCATTTCAGTGCATAAACGATTGAAATATGTTCAATGGCGAATACGACGTATATTTCCAAACTTTTAATTTCAATTGAATTCTTTTGACAACTGTAAAATAATTTGATTATCTTATGGTATTATGAATGAAAAACAAATATTGTTTTATATATTTTCGAGCACGTAGCATATTTTATTGTGAAATTATTGAGCATTTGCTGTTGAGTTGGTTTTGGTTTACAAATTTGATTTTCACTTGAACTCCTTTTCTTCTGTACAGGCTGTGAAAAAATTGGGCAAATTTAAATTGGAAAAAAAAGTAACAATAAATACAACGCATCTGGTATCGTTGGATACTCGTCGTACGGTGAACATGCTTCGAGGCATTATACGAGGCGTGTGGATATTAACATATGATTGGATTTTAGAATCAGTCGATGCAAACAAATGGCTCCCCGAATCGGACTATGAATTGCGAACGTTTTCCAAAGTAGTCGAGGTAAACACATTCATTTTCTTTTTGCTTCACCCAATTCGCTACCATTGAACTTCTGTTAATTCGAAACCATTTTAGATAAACCGAATCGAGCGGCAGGCGTTTGGACGAAAATATCGAATGGATCTATTCAGGAATATGGATTCCTTTTATTTGGCACCAAATTGCGCTTGCAAGAATCTTAAAGAGCTCGTAGCTCTTTGCTACGGGAAAATTGTAGAAAATGAATCCAAAGCCCGGTATTTTATCACCGAACACTTTCAACCAAACATCGATAGCAAAAACCTGGTTCAGCTACACCCGAATTTTATCCTCGATAGTATTAGTGCTGGAAATGTCCAGAAACTTAAAACATACGTTTTGACATTGCAGTGATTTTTTTGTGTGACTTTTCCACACAAATGTTTTTTAAATGTGAAAGAAAATTAAAAAAAATTGTAAAACAAAATCATTTTGTATTCATTATTCTTAGTACTTTCAAATCAATTCCACTCATGAAAATACCAATAACCTCACCTTGACGGTACGTTGTTTGTTTGTTGTTTGTTGTTTGTTGTACAATTACTAGTTTGACATTTTTTGCAAACGTTTTGCCAAGTGTGAAATACGACAGTATTTCCATATATTTCTGAACAATATACCTATTTTTGTTCGTCACAAACCCTTTCGGATTGGGGATAAATTTCATTTCTGTTCCAAACCTATGAATTACTTATTATTATACACTGCATTCAACTTTAAATTGCATCAAGACTTTTATTATTGAACTGAATGTTTTGATTTGAATTGGTAATTGAAATATATCGGCTGTGCCATCTTTTGATTGCACATTTAACTAATCAAAGAAAATACACACGTATTGAGCTCCAATTAAGCTATAAATCAAGTTTGGCATGTATGTATATATGTATGTATTTAGTTTACTGTGATGGGAAAAGTATTAGGTTCGCAAATACTTTTTATTGAGGAGATTCAGCAAACGTGCAAAACGCTTGGATAGAGTATGGGAAAATATTTCATTTGCTTATGGTTTATTCCATTCAAAGAAAATCTTCTGGTCTATTGGAAAGAAAAATCCATTGCATTTACAAAAAAACAGTTTCATTCGACATATAGAAATATTAGCTTTTTTACTTCGTTTGCTTTATGAATAAAATGTATAAAATTTTGAATAGCCGAAACTAATTTTATTGATGATTGTTTGATGAAAAATTTCATTGCTTTTTTCATTCAATATTGGTAAAATCCTCACATACAACACATACATAGCAACAATGATCAGCCTCGATTCTATAACAAATTTGATCATCAGTGATATTCATCACAGTATTCCGAATGACACTTTGTGATAAAATAATATATATTATTTCACCATTTTTGTGAAAACAATCTGTACAATGTACATATATGACTCATATATAATGAGTAAAATGAGGAATATAGCGCTCAGCCGATAAGATTAACTATTGTTTTTGTAGATGTAAACAACACCAATACCAACCACTAATTGACAATACTTACGATTTTCCATATAAATTTGTTGGCAACGAATCATCCGCTATGCTTTAGTATTATTTTCTGTGCAATATTCGGTGTCACGTCCGCATTAGCGCAGTAAAAATTTGAAATAATACACAAATTTTAATATTTTAAATTTTAATTTTATTTTTGAAAAGAAAGAAAATATTTGGTTATGGCTCAGTTACCTGCTTCCCATCCTGTAAGTATCATTATTATCAAGTGAATATTTTCAACTGATTCTGAATCAGCAAAGTAACTTTGTTTGTTATGTGTTCAGCATATTCCGTATCTTGGATTGATACCAGGAGGATTTCATCATGGCCTGATGATCCGAGTAACCGGCGAAATGCTTTATCACGATAGGTAACCAACCAATCGCAAAATATTTGGTAGAACTTAATTTGGCGATCTTTTTTCCCAAAGATTTGACGTGGAGATTAGAGCCGGACCTATTTTAACACCATCCGATGATATAAATGTACATTTGAGTGTTCGTCCAAACGAAGGCGCAATCGTTAGGAATTCGATGATCAGCCAATCATGGGGCGACGAAGAAAGATTCGGCGGTTGTCCAATCCAGCATGGGCAACGATTTGAGATTTTAATACTTGGGGAATTAAATCAATTCAAAGTGAGTGATTCATTTGTGAATATTTTATTGTGAACTAACACCAATGCAATGTTATCTTTATAGATTGCTGTTAATGGTCGTCATTTCTGTGAATTCCGACATCGAATTCCCCTGTCTTCGGCTAGATTTGTTCATGTCCAAGGCCAAGTGAAAATCCATTCAATAAGACTAGAAGGTGATCCAAACACATTGACACCATCCGCTCCATTGCTAACAAGTAAGAACCGATCAAATCGATAATTGAACATAATAAAAATAATTTCATAATAAAATAATTCCTAAATATTCAGCGCTGACGACATCAATGCCCTCATATCAACAAGCACCACCACAGCCGTATCAAGGCTATCAGCCGCATCATCAGCCACATACACAATACGTACACCCAAGTAAATTACAATGATTGATATTTGTCAAGTGATAAGTATTCTGTTAATTTTTTGTTTCATTTGCTTCATAGGTCCATATAATACTTTTTCGACGACTGTGACTGCGGTGCCTAGTCAGCAGCAAACGTATCCGGTATATTTACACAAAGACATACAACATCACTAACCCCACCCTTTCAGTTTTTGATTTGAATTGATACGTTCACATTTGTGCACCCACTTTTCCCTAGATTTCTTTTTTTGTTGTTGTTCCGAATATTCAGTTCCACATTAAATATTGATTTGAATAAACGCCGTAATTTCGTCTATACACCAAATTATTGATTGACACACATTGTTGATTATTCGTAGGAGTTTAAGATGATTTTTCTTTTTCTAGAGCGGTCAATATTATTATCAACAACCGCCACACCAAACATATTATTATCAACCAGGACAACCGAATTTGTCGAATCAGCCCTATCAACAAAATCCATCATATAATACCTACCAAACCACACCACATTACTCTTCACCACCGAAAAGTGGTTCTGGAACAAAAGCATTAAAATATGCGGCGGGTATCGGGGGAATTGGCCTGGGTGCCTACGCTATTTCAAAAATGTTCGACAGTGATGGCTCAAATTCGGACTGAATCAAAATGCACATAATGTTAAAATATTCATAAATATTCCAAACGATGAAACAAATAAATTCCAACTTGCGTTAGCCATACCGATCAATCTACTTGTTTTCCGCTCTTGCTCAGTTTTTACCAATTGCAGGATCTCTGTTCCACCTCGCAATGACGGATATATCTAAATCAAATGCACGCAAATCTGAACTATGAATGTAATTTATTCTTTTAATGTAGGATGTTTTGTTTTGTAAGAAACCAAATGTGTTCCATGACTAAGAAATCGTGATCTTCGGTGATCGATCATTTGTATGGAGAGCTTAGGCGACGTTTTTTTTCAAATGATTCGCCATCAGCACCATGATGTTCCAGGTCTTCAAATGGGATAGTGCTATCAGCTGGTTCTTGTTCATCCAAACTTGAATCTATCGGTAAAACAATTGTTCATTAGCATATATTCTTTTTTTTCCAACATGTGCCAGCTGAAAAATTGGCAAAGTTGGTCCCAATTGGTTTGCTCTCTTACCGATCTCCACCTCTTCCTTATCGTCGTCATCTGATTCATCTTCATCGCTTTGTGTCGCTTGCTTCTGTCGCAGTAAATTGAGTTCTTGCTTAAGTTCATCTATCTGTTGTAAGGAATGAAATGGAAATTGGATTATTTTTTGAAGAAATAATTCGATTCGGTGTTTCCAATGAAAAAAATCTCACTTACCACTTTCTGAGCCTTTGACTGTTCGTATGCCAGACGTTTCGCAGCTTTTTTATTTGCATTATTGACCATTTGTTCACGTTCTTCAACCAGTTGATTTCTTAATTCCTGTTCTTCCTTCTTAGCTTCCATTAGTACAGCTTTTAATCCATCTAATTGTTCAACTAGCTGCTCATTTTCATATCGAAGATCCATGTTTTCGTTTTCTAAACGTTGGTTCTCTTCGAAAAGATCGTTCCAGTCGCTATCATTTCGTTGACCAATGCTATTCATGAACCACGAGAATCGTGTGCTTCGTGCAGTTCGGCGGTCTCTTGACTCTTGCTTGGGCTGCTTGTAGACAATTTGTTGTGCGATTGATGCAAAATTCAGTACGTGTAGATTTTCTTCCATGAAATCAATTTTCGGTGCCATGGTTACGATCGTGGTAATCTTTTCGTGACCCATAAGCGATTTCTGTAGGAGCATTGTTAATTTTGATTCGCGGAATGGCACCACTTCCTTTGATCCCTTGGACTGTTGATTATGGAACATGAGGTCGAAACAACGGCCCAAAACCATTAATGATGTGTTGATACGTTGCGCTTCCTTCAGTCGATCGCCAACATTTTCGGTCTTCTTTAACCGCTCCGATCCAGCTAAATCACAAAACTTGTACGTAGACGTCGAATATCGATCAGGATACGAGAAATGAATCACATTCACGATGAGTATACAATGCGACCGACTTGAGTTCGCATTTATATTAGTCGATGCATAGTTGACTTGCTGTAGGCCGGCTTGAATCACATCAAATGCTTCGGTGGCCGATGCTACATGAACGGATGCCAAATCTTTGATGTATGAATTGCCATCGTTGGATATAATCTTCAGATTTTTACGCTTTGTCACTGTACCTCCTGCATTCGGTTTCAACAAATCGTACACATTTTCATTGTAAATTTCAGCAAATGAAATCCATACAAAAACAAACTGCCACACTGGGTTTTCCACCAGCTGGAATTCATGTTCATCGCAAATTTGCTTCAGCATCTGTTTATTCTTCAATGCGTTTTCATTTTTCACAAATTGTGATTTAAAGTTCAGTTCATCTTTGATATTTTCCTCGGAAACCAATAAAAAATTGCCCTTGTCAATTTTGGCCGCTGGCGTCGGGCAAATGATTTGTTGGTCCATTGAGAAAATGTGAGCAATGGCACGTTGAACAATACCAGCATCTGATTCTGTGCCGTACATCGTGTACGTTTTTCCTGAACCTAAAAATCGATATGGAATGGAAAAAACGATTAATATTGAATGAAATCATGAACACATTTGTTGCATTCCTATTACCACTTGTCCCATACGTCAATATCGTGAGATTCTCTTCATTTTGAATGGATACATGCACGGATTGATTGTAAATATCCAATTGCGTAGCATTATTGTGGAATATTTTTGAGAATTCAAAGTGTTTTTCAGCCATATCTTTATTATTACTGGTGGCCATTTCAATCGGAAGCACTTTTAACAGATTGTTCTCGGCTTCATAGTGTTTGCATGCTTTTTTTATCGGTCGTAATCGCAAAAACACCGATGCCGTTGTGTCGATCGTGTCCGAACTATTCTGTGAGCAAGCACTTGACATCGAATTGCTGCCATTCGGTGCTACATTTTCTGTGTCTTCTTCTTCCGTTATCTCTTTGAACAAATCACGGATTTTTCGGGGTTTTGGACGATAACGTCGATCAATACTCGGATCACGTTGATACATATAAGATACACGATCATTTGACATTTTTCCTATTTTTTACCTGCAAAAAAATCATAAAAAGAAAACCATTGAAATAAAAAAAGTGCTTTTGGATTTTTTATATGACGGTTCATCACACCGTTTAGCTCAATTTTATGCAAAGCAATGTATTTGTTGGTACATCAAAATGTCACTAACGACTATTTTTTCCCTTGTTATTCCAACAATATTTTGATTCATTGGATTTGTACTATATTTTCACGGAAATTCATCCAATTCGACGATGTCTCTGACAAAAACCAAATCATTACAAAACGAAACAAAAAAGAAATATGAAAATTGCGCAGAATTTCCATTCGTTTTGATATGTCTGACAAATCAACCAAAGTCAGCTTCATAGTAAAAAGGCTTACCTATTTCACAATTCACAAAAACAATTCGATTGTTCCGTATTAAATTAGCAATATAAAAATAAAATTCTTAAAAATACACTAGAATGTTTATAAAATTATGCAAATAGAAGATTGAAAATTGCAAACAATGACTTTGAACGAATACAACAACGATGTGCTTTACATAAGCATGTAATGTGAATTGCCGTTAAAACAAAATATTTTTTTTTTTTAAGTATCGTTCGAAATTCGTGAGTGCTGCCACCAAAAAAAAAACGCGCCAATAGTGTGAAATCACAAGCGAATTGTGACAGTTCGATGGTTTCAGCAGCTCAATGTTTCGGGCTTTGCACATACAAACGCACGTGAACAAAACACAGAAGGTATTGCCCTTTCGTTCATATGACATATATTCACACATGTCAGTTGAAGCAATTCATTTGACACACACATAATGCTAAGGATATGAAAGTCTTTTAATTTTGTTTAATAAATGGCTGCGACACGATTTCGTTTATCGCAATTATTTTCGAATAATTTGCAATTGTTCGGAGTTCGGTCATCAACAACAACAACAAATTTGCATCAACCCAACAGTAGGCAGCTTCACATTTGCACACATCAAACGAGCCAATATAAATCATCGAGACTTTTCGGTGGGCATGGTTCAGGTGAGCAAAGTTTCATAAAGTGCAGTAACTGAAATGCAAAAAAAAACACAAATAATTTCTGAAGCAGTGAAAAAATATCGAATGACACAATCAATGCCATGGGTCAATCCAATGAATGGATCAAATTCGATTGTCATTTAAAAATGATTTGGATTGAAAAATATTTGAAAAATGTTCTCGAATTATTGTGAAAACTTAACCTCAACAATCGACTACAAGACAAATTGCATCACATCTGAGTCTAATTTCTGCATTTTCGTTTCCAGTTTTGGGTGCATCACATCGTAGTATATCCACGACATTTTCACTAGCGTCAAAAGATTATTACAAAATATTAGGCGTTTCGAAAAATAGCTCGGCAAAGGATATCAAAAAGGCGTATTATCAGTTGGCTAAAAAATACCATCCCGATCAAAATAAAGATGATCCCAATGCCGGCAAGAAATTCCAAGAGGTATCCGAAGCATACGAAATACTTAGCGATGACACCAAGAGAAAGGAATACGATACATTTGGAACAACAACCGAACAAATGAACCGCAATGGAGGAGGGGCTGGTCCCACCGGCCAAGGTTTTAACCAACATTGGCAATACACTTCGACTATAAACCCAGAAGAGCTGTTCAAGTAAGTGGATGCAGTAGCAACCTTATTTATATTTGAAACGAGTTTTCACATTAATTGCCCATTTTTGATTTTAGTAAAATCTTTGGAAATCGCCATTTCAAGGGCGGTGGTGATTTTGGTGATTTCGACTTTGCTGACACCAAATTTGGATTTGGAGCGGCACAAGAGGTCACAATGAACTTGACCTTTGCACAAGCTGCACGAGGTGTAAACAAGGTATTTTAAAAGGGGAATTGAACATTTCATAATTGAAAGTTTGTTAACAAGGATACCATTGTAATCAATATCAATATTGTAGGATATTATTGTCAATGTGGTTGATACTTGTCAGAAGTGTCAGGGATCTCGTTGTGAATTGGGCACAAAACCAAGCAAGTGTCAATATTGCAACGGCAGCGGTATGGAAACCGTGTCAACTGGACCGTTTATCATGCGATCGACATGTCGATACTGTTCAGGAACGGGCCAATACAATAAGTATCCATGTTTGGAATGCGAAGGCAAAGGACAAAATGTAAGGATCGATTGGCATCAAGTCATTTTGGAAATTTGAACAGTGGTAATTATCTTCTTTTTCTCTACAAAGGTGCAACGTAAAAAAATTACCGTTCCTGTTCCGGCTGGCGTTGAAAATGGACAAACTGTTCGTATGCAAGTGGGACGAAGGGAGATATTTATTACATTCAAGTGAGTGAAACGACATAAAAAAAATCGAATAACAAAAAGAAACATTTTTTCATTGACCAAATCCTATTTGCATTCTGCAGAGTTGAGAAAAGTAATTACTTTAGACGAGATGGGGCTGATGTACACACAGATGCTGAGATATCTCTATCGCAGGCCATTTTAGGAGGAACGGTTCGTATTCAAGGCGTTTACGAAACTCAAACTATTCAGGTAAGAATTTTCTTCTCTCTTTCTCCCTCTTCTGATTCATACAATCAACAATGTTTATGGATTTGATTTGTGAGCATCAGAGATTACTATGAGATATTTTTATTCATATGGGATAGAAATATCGCATAAAAATATCAGATATTTTTCATGCGTTGCGTTGTTGTAACGCGTCTGCAGTACAAAATTCATATTCCTTTCTGCGTCCCAAGTCAATTTTGCTGAATTCGGCTCGGATCAGTCTCAAATTCGACTTGGCACGCAGTAAGGAATATGAATTTTGTACTGCAGATGCGTTACAACAACGCAACGCATGAAAAATATCTGATATTTTTATGCGATATTTCTATCCCATATGAATAAAAATATCTCATAGTAATCTCTGGTGAGCATTATTAAATTTTGGAAATCTGGTTTACTTTTCAACGCCTTTAGATTTTACCTGGTACTGCGTCACACACGAAAATTTGCCTTAGCAACAAGGGTATGAAACGAGTCAATAGTTATGGAAATGGCGATCATTATGTACACATCAAAATAGCCATTCCAAAGAAGTTAGGCAATGAACAAAAAGCATTGATTCAGGTGAATTGACAAGGATATACTGTGTTTGATAATCAGTTTGAATTATAGCAAATAACATATGTTTTCAATTCATCGCACATTGACAGGCTTATGCTGAGCTTGAAACAGACACACCTGGAACGATATTTGGTATAACTCAGAAGACCGATGGTAAGTCGAATACAACATCTTCTTCAACTTCATTTGATAACACAAAAACACAAGGAGAACGTGCTGATGACTACAAAACACATGATCGAACGGGTGATGAACAATATCAGGTCGATCAATACGAACAGCGCAGAATTTACAAAATTTTGGGTGGATTCCTGGTTGTCCTGATTGCATTCTGTTTGATCAATGGTCAAAATAATGACAGTAATACTACTGTCCTAACCGATTATGCAACCAGACAACGAGGAATAAAAACTGAAAAAGAAAATCGAACTATCTTTAAAGATGCATAAATATAAAAATGAATAATGTAAAATCAAAAATAGTTAGTTCATCGATCGTTCGTAAACTCGAATAATAATAATTCGGAATAGAAAAACCAACCGAAATGGGGCTGCGCCAAAAATTTATTTAATGTAGCTTAAATACAAATTGTGAACGAAAGAGAAATGTTACAAATAAAACATTGGTTTTATTTCCATTGAGAGTATGATGAATTTGTTGACTTTTAATTGATGAATCTTAAGGCGCGCTACCCCCCATTGATTGCTTAGAGTTTAATCCACGGTTAGTGTAACATTATATTCTATGAAACTGATGGTACTTTGTTTACTATTTGTCACCCTTTTAGGTACTAAAGAATCATTTGAAGAACCAAAAAATTTGACACAGAAAGTCCGCGAAGCATTGCGACAAGAAGCAGACTCAGACAACAATAAGAAAACACCAGACAGTGCTGAAAGTGATCAGAGTTCGAACACAAAGGAGGCCAACTCCGATGAATCTGTTAAAAAACGTGATAAAGTATGATTGGTGTAATGTGGACCTTATTGAAAGTGTGGAAGGCTTGTAAGGAAATGCAAGCTATATTTGTTTAAGAACGAATTCTTTTGTTTTAAATTTTACAGAATTCCGAGGAAAAAAATAGTTAAACTGTGAATAAAAATTGTAGCAAATCAGTGAACCAAAAATAATAATTGATTTTGTTTTTTTATTGAATATTTCTTTTATTTCTATACAGCTAACAACAGCACAGCTGAGCCTTATCTCAAAATGCAAATTGAAACAAAACTTTAATTAATGCCATGTGCTTTTTGCAATCCTTGTAAAAGTCGCCGTTTCTCTTCGGCGTGCTCTCGATAGGTTTGTATCGTGGCTTTGATTTCATTTGATTTGGTAACATTTTCCGATTTACAATATTCGTCGAGGAATTTCAGGCAAATTTCATCACATTTTAGATCGTCTTCGTTTTTGCCGGCCGTTTTCTCAATTTCCAATTCCACTACATTGGTTTTGCTATCGATTAATTTTCGGTAAAAATGTTCATCGTCACGTCTTGGGAATCGTTTCAATTGTTCCAAAATATATGCATCATATGGGATTTTGTTCAAATTGTACATCAAACAGATGGCTTCCACGGCATTCCGTAGATAGTCACGTCGAATACAATCAATTATCAAATTATCGATGAGTTTGTGCCAAGCCAAGAAGAAAGCCATCGGCCCAAAGTGACGAGTTGATCGCAAACAATCAAAGGCACTATTTTGACTGATGTGTTGATACGTTGTGCTTGTCACTCGATGGTAGTCTTTCTCAAACGGTTCAAATTGAATGATGGCTCGGTCTAACACAAATTCATATTTTCCTTCGTCTAAAACACGCTGGAAATGCTCACCGAAGAACATTCGTGGAACAATTATTCGTCGCCCTTTAAACGGAAAGTATGTTTCAATCAAACGTCGTCTCGTCAATTGATTGGCTGTTTCTAGCACACCATTTGGATGACGAACCAAAACCGCCCGTTCACGATCCTTCAAACCGAATGTTGTGTCGATGAATACGATTCTGGCATCGGTGTATCCTTGAATTTCCGGATCTTTGGACAGAATTTTAATGTCGTCCTCTTCAATGTGTAAAATTGGTGGCATAAGCAATAAACGTCTGGCCGTTCGTAATGCACCATTCAATTTCTCCTTAACTTCTTGGGCCGTTAAGAAATGGTATGTTGGGCGGGTGAATGGCTTTGGTCGCGATCGAAACACTCGCTCAATTTGCATATTTGTTAGCGAATGCATCAGCTCCCGATTTTGTTTTTCCATAAACTGACTGCTTGGGTCTGCATCTAAAACCATTTTAAAAGTGCATTTTTACATTATGATTCTAACCTCAAAATGAGAACATTTACACTTACCATATCTTAGGAAATTGTCTGTGTGGTTTGAAGTATTTGCCGTTGCCTCCGAGCTAAAACGCAGCAATGGAACTATATGCACGGTTTTTGTTTGATGCATCCATTTGGCAAAACGCGCTCGAGCAATCATTTTGCCTGGTGTTTTCCTCAGCTCGATGTTTAACTATATGCTTTGAAAGTTATGAATTTCAACCATTGCCGATGTGAGCTCACGATACGTCAACGCAACAATGACATACGCCAACAGAAGGCGTTGCTTTCCATACAAACAAAATCTCTTCGTTTCGTTGCTATTGAATTGGGATTTAAATCGTATTGTTTTTTTTTTCTCTTCATAACTGTAAAATAATGCTTTCAATGCATTGAACGTGAAAAAAATAGCATGCATCGTGTAGAAAGTGTTGTGATTTTCGGCAATTTTTATACATGAGACAACCGAGCTCATCCGATCGAATGATTATCCAAATCAAATCAAAAGTACATTTATACACAAAATAAGGGAGACAAAAGGAAAACGAAAACAGTTGAAATTGGAGAAATTGGAATAGAGCTCCAAACCATAAAACCACTTGCTTGTATTCCTATCATCTGTTTATTAAAGTGCGCATTGTTGTTTGCAGAGAAAAACGACGACGACGACAACGTTCATGAGCATAAGTTGATGGAAGGCTAACATTCGTTCCATTCCCGCACAAGTGTATGAAGAATTTCATTGCTCATGAGCGTACAATGACAGGCGCGCAAGTGTTTGACACCAACACACAAACACACACAGAGAGAGAGAGACACACACACACACACACACACGGAGAGAGAGAGAGAGAGAGAGAGAGAGAGAGAGAGAGAGAGACATACACGCATACATACATGCTCACTAACGTACATTGTTTGTCATTGAGTCATTTTTATGTTCCATTACAGCTAAAAAGCGAATCCATCGAACGCACACGCTCAAAGACGCCCCGGTGTGTTTATTCGAACTGTTTCGCTCTAATGTCAGTGTGAAAATAGTAGTGATGACGATGTGTTGCGTTCGAGACCCAATGATGAGTTAAACGCGCGATATTAATTTTTTTTCCTTCGCTTATTCTGGACTTTGTGCACAAACAATATATAATTTTTCGAAAAGCAAACCAATCGAGTTTGCATTGATAATATTGAATTGAAGTGAAGACACATCAAGTGCGTGTGCACTGTGCAGTGGGACTCTTTCGACATTTCTATTTTATCTGTGCGGTGAAATTAAATCGGTCGCAACAATATCGATCGATTCCTGTGAAGAAGCACCCAATATGTAAGTATGCATACTGAATGTATGAAAAACATATGGCCTACGGAACAATGTTTGCATTCGAAACAAATCGCCAAACATGAAACGGAGCGAGGAGAGCTTAGTTTCAACCAGATCAACCATCGATTCAATACACGTTTTTTTTTTTAATTTCGCGATATATATATTTTAAAATAGTGTGGGTAGCTATTTGAAATTGTGATCACACTTGAATTGTTTATTCGTATTAACTACTTGTATATGGCAATTTTTTTTCGCTCTTGTGTGGAATCGATATTTGATGTATTTTATCGTCATTCGTTCGGCTAAAGTGAGCAACTAACATTGAAGGCTGACTGATTTTCGATCTGGGGTGTTGTTGTCCATTAACACACTACCAAAACGCAAATTGTCGTGACTATCGTTACGGTTGTCAATTGCAAATTGATAAATGTTAGTCATTCCTTTTACGATGAATGAATGAAGAAAACCAGCATGAGTAAAATACACCATGACGCAAGGAGAAGTTCCAAGAAATACAGTATAATCATCCCAGAAGTATGCTGCCCAACAAAACCTTCTTACAAAACAAAACGAAACGAAAACGGATTAAAGTAAAGCGAAAACCATCTTCTGACATAGAAAGTGCATTGTTCCAACCAATCTTCAGCCTTCAAATGGGCATATAAAATACAAATTAAAACAATCAAGTTCAATTCGTGTCATAGAGTAGAAAAAAAGAGAGTCATAATTGAATGAACAAACAATAAGTTGATGCAAATCACTTGCAATGTGCATTTTCGAAACGAACGTTTGTTGCTATTATTACATTGTGAGCTGTGTGTATAATTTATGGAAAACAAGTGTGCATAGGTGATGAGTGTGAGTGAGTGTGTGTGTGTGTGGTGACACAGCGCATTTTAAATGGAAACAGAGAGAAAATCGACGAAGAATGCAAAACTGCGAAATCTGTATGTGATAAATGAAGATTGGATAAATGAATCGACTGCATTCCAAATGTGCTGAAGATAACAGTGTTGTTCAATTGTGTTTCGATGACAGAAAGGGCACGTTGGAAGTCACAGTACACTGTATAATTGATCAATTCGATCAAGCAAAGGTGATAGCAGTAAATGTATACAATTTGCTTGCGATTCGCAAAGTGAATGCACATTTGTGTGAATCGTTTTTATTTTTGGTTTTTATAACATGGGCGTATAAATATGTATAATGGATTCAATACGTGCGACGCGTGAAATGAATGCATCAACAATAGCAACGCACCAAAATGGAAATCATAAACCGAAGTTGTCGTTATCGACGCTGGTCGTGGTCGTGGTGCGAATTGAAGAATAATTAGAATTTTCACTGTATAAAAATGCGACTTTTCTTTTGATCAAATGGAAAATGTATATGACACAAGGCACCGCATCGTTGCGCCAGTAAATGGCCTACTGACTGCATAAATTGACACTATTCGAAACAACAATACCACGAACAATAAAAATACATATAACAACGCAACCGCATTGTAAAGTCTTCTCAAATTTTTGCTTACCATTTAAAGTGCTGTCCTAAATTAAATCGTATGAAATGTTACATTTTTTGACGTTGCTATGGGTCAAACCTTTCCATCAAACACATATTGTCTTCATTACATTTTTGTTTTTGACAAACAAGTTGCAGTTTCATTGAATACTAAATTGAATTATCTTTCTGTAAGGTTCAATTTTAATTTCGACCGCATATAAAACGATAACGTCATTACGAGAATCCAACAAGAGATAGTATTTCTCAGAAAATAATTCCAACGAATTTTTTTTTTTTTTTTTTGATTGCATCACCTCAATTCAATAATTTTCTTACAAGAAATTTCGTTTCTCTATCAATAAACAATTGAAAATGCCAATAAAACCGCCGATAAAACAATCATATCCATAAAAAGCAAGACTTGAATACATTACACTGGATATGGTTTATACGATTTGTTTCAATGGCATTCTAGTGCACTGCAGTTTTGAACAAAGCACAAATAAAAAAAGATCAACCATAAGAATCAAGTTAGCTTTTACTCGCTGTAAAAACAATGAAATGAAAGTTATGGTATAGGGAACATAGCTGGTGAGCAATGAACGTATTACATGCGAAATAATGCTATGGGGGTAAAAAAAGTGAATGCGCAATACATAGTTAAATGTCAGACTGAAAATGAAACGCTATTCGCATACACATACACATGCATGATGATGGACTGACTGCACCACCAGCAGCAGCAGCAGCAGCAGCTACGCTTACAAGCACAGTCATCTGCTACCAAATAAATCCGAATATGACTCAGTGTATTGGGATACAACGCACCAAAATATACTTATGTTAGCTCATCTTTGAATCGAATCGAATCGCGACGACAACTCTTCGTTATATTGCTTGGTTTAAGTTTGTAGTTTTTCTTTTCAAATTGCTTTCTTGTCCGTGTCAAACAAAATCACGTTGGGATAGGTATCGATTAATCGGATTGAAGAAATCGCTTATTTATTGTACAGTCTTCTTCTCTGTAAATGTGTTGTGAGCAGCACATTATTAGCCAATCCACACATGCTCATATTTTTTTCTTCAAAAAAACATTATGTTGAATACGAAGACTAGAAAGCACGTTGACCAATACAGAATATTATACAAAAAAATAAAATTCAGAGAAATGAAGAAAGCTTCAAAATACATAAATTCCACAACAGAACGGATCATAGAATCAAACTTCGAATATATTGTCGCTTGTATTTTTTCTGACCTATTACACGTTTGCAATACATTATGGTGCTTGTATAAGCTGCTTACTGATTCGGTCAAATGAAGTTTGATTTATGCCAAAACATGAAGCGAAAAGAAAAAAAAACACCGACAAAAAATGTGTTGAGTACAAATTTGAGTAGAAATCGTCACTGATGTTTATTGAATTTTTATCTGCGTGATATCAAATCAGTGCAGTATATAGCCAAATGTCAAAGTGAGAAACAATCAATATATTGAAAAAGTGGCACTCCTCCTCGTGAATGGAAATTTGTAGAAAAAATGCAGACTAAAAATTAGTAAAATGAATGGGTTTGATGAGATTTTATTTATCTGTTTGAATCATTTGGTGAGAATTGAAATGAATACAGGTGATTCTTTTGAACACAGGCGCAAGTAAAAGGGAAGGAGAGAGGAAGAGAGAAAAAAAGATGTCACAAGCAAATGTTGATTCGTGCCATCATAGACTATACAATTGTGTGATGATTTATGGACAAGAAAAGAAATTAAACGGTATCAAAATTCGAAAAAGAAGAAACTGGGTAGTAAGTGTACGAAAAAAAAAATTGTATTCACAATATTTTGAACTCAACAGAAATCATTATATTTACACAGTACAATTAGGGTGTTTTCGGAATCGTTCAATCGAAAAATGGTAAGTCTCATTCGATAGATCTCAGAATTCTCAGTCGATTGATAACATTTTTGTCGCGGATGGACTTGTGGTGACACTTCCCGAAACTAAAAACAAAAAATGTTTTATTCTGAATTTCTATAGTAACGTGTGACAACTAAATTCAATTTTATGTTTTCTTGTCAAATTTTTGCTTTAAAATTTCAAATCAAATCTGGTTTTCACAGGTTACTATGGAAATTCAGAATAAAACTGTTTTTGTTTTCAGCTTCGGGAAGTGTCATCACAAGTCTATCCGCGACAAAAATATTATCAATCGACTCAGAATTCTGAGATCTATCGAATGAGGCATACCATTTTTTTTGATTAAACGATGCCGAAAACACCCTAATTGTACACTGTACATAGCGTATACAATGCAATATTAAATAGAAGATTTCCAACTATCGATTCTTCATTCTCGTTCATTCGCTTTTCGGTTCTAATGTACTGCGGCGCTCTCAACACTGACCGACTTGTTTTGTGTGGCACGAAATACGAGTGCGAAAAAGACATATTGTCGAAAAAACAAACTTTTTTCTCTTCATACAATCAAACGTCAGCTAATAATGTATTCCGCAACCGTAGCATGAACAGTTTCTATGTTGTTGTTGTTGTTATTGTTTTTTTTCACATTGTCATTAGCCGCCATTGCCATTGTTTCCAGCCGCTTGGAGAAAAATGAAAAAAAAAGAATTGAATTAGTTTGATGTTCTGAATGAGCGTTCGGTTGGCTCTGAAATAGCGTTCGTTAGACGTAATGCACTTTCGCTGACCTTTGCCTGGTATTACTGTATCAATAATTGGGCTTTCCCTTCGCATCAATGTTCTGAAAAACAAGTTGTACATCGCAAACGCTATCTAATTACTAGATATTTCTTCACCAAAGTATGCACATTGCACAATAGCCGTGGACGCAGTTGCGGAACAGTTATTTTCTTAGTTTCCAAAATTAAATTTGTTCATTGGGCACAATGCCATTTTTGATGAACAATATGGTGACCGACGGATCATTCCCATATTTCTGGAATTGTTTTTTTGTTCAAAAGTTTTTTTACACAATGAATAAAAAAGTTATCATCAATAGAAAAAAAGCCTCTTAAATGATCGAGAATATAATTATATTACATTTTAAAATAAAAAATTAAATTGAACTACTGACGTTGGCTGTAAATCTGCATAACCTGATTATGAACACCGAAAATAGGCAGCTCTACAATAGCTTATTAGATCATCTGTCGCAGTTTGTTATGATTGAATGAAAAGAGAATTGTCAATATGGTTATCGTGACGATTTTTAAATTAAGTAACTCGGTTGTGATATCGAATTAAGGAACGAACTGGTTTGGCATATGCGCCAACATTCGTTTTCCAAGTTACATAAATATCAAACCGCTAAAACGAAATGAAAATGAAACAATTGATGGATATCAAAACACTTGAAGTGTTTGTTGTTCATAGTAATGCACCATTTTGCATACTTGGATTGAAAAGAATTCAAACATTTGAACATATACGGCATAAACCTCTTATTCCAACTTGCTAGAACAACAGTTTTAAATGCTAATTATCTCAATTGTATAGACGGCGTATGATATATTCAAATGTTTAATTAGCTTATAGCGCAAAAAAAAAACAACTAAGTGGTTTTGAGAAGGTCTTTGAGAGTTTATTGAATGGAATTGGGTCGAGTATGTGACTCATCATTAGTAGTCTCGTCTGGTCGAAATAATGTTTGGGCGGGTTACGTCATGCATCGCACATGACATGAAACATACTACCTCTTCCTAATACGCCGCCGATCATGCTGATTTTGTTAGCCCGTGTAATAAATATATTTCGGTTATAACCGAAACCATCGTTGTCATTTCTAGCTACGACAATGACAAAGCTATTAGGACTGCCGACTACACCACACACAGTACACACACGAAATACGGCAAAAAGCAGCACAAGTTCAGATGAACGAAGGTGCCGTGGCACTGAAATGTTGGTTCGTGGCGCTGTGTTTTTGCTTCGCTTCGCTAATTTGTCATGTGTTGCCATTGAATCACAGCTCTTTTTTTATATGAATCGATGGATGAGTTTGAATTACTTCTGTGTCAATCAAGACTAATATGAAAACCAAAATCAGTAACAGCTGTCATGCATATATTCATTGGTTGAAGGCGTTTTCACATATTATTCTTTGTAAGATTCTGTCCATTTTGGTAAACATTTTAATTACACTAATTCTATAGCCCATCAATAAATAAATTAAAATCAAAGTCTAAACCAAGAGCAAAAGAAGAAATCAAATAATGAACTTCACCATAAACCACTTGTTTACGATGATTTAATTATTTTCATATTTAATTGGTTTCATCGAATCATTTTTAATAATGAAAAAAAATTTATTAATTTTGTATTAACTTGTTAGTTAAAAGTACTGGCTGAGTGAATATTGGAAGAGGAAAGAAATTCTTTGTATCACTTTCCCAAAATTGGAGGAGAATCTAATTTTATTAATTAATGCTCTTGACTATTCTATTTCAAACCATTGTTTTTTTTTCTCTTGCCATTCCAGAAAAAATTGAAACAAACAACATTTGCTCATAGAAATAATACGGAAGGGAAGAAAGAATTTGCATCTTTGTTTGGCATTTGATATGAATAATACTTGTTTACTGTGATCTCCCACGCATCTACTTAATAAAATCACATAAAAAAACACCATAAATCCGACACCATCAACGGGCCGCTGTTTGAATAATTAATGAGATTCGCTCTGGACAGAACAAAGTAGTGCTTTGTAGCCAATGAGATTGAGAGCGTGAATATGTGTAAATTCAAACGCTGAAAGGTGTGATTCACTGCTTGTTTCATTCTTAATGTGGAAATAGCATTTAAATTGATCGGAAGAGATCGCAAACGAATGCGATTACAACACTAAATGGATTCGTCAGCGGGTAATTCGAGTGCAACGGCTGCTTCGCTCTCCAATTTTCAAAATGGTTTGAGTGCACAAGAGGATCGATTGAATACGGACAACAACGTTCGATTGGACACTCAACGACAAAGACAACGTCTTCAATCGGCTGCCGAACATTTTAGTTCAAGTCATAGTTCGGACGATTTGCACGAAGACAATTCCAATTGGGATGCGCAGGAATTGGCTACATCGAAATCAAAACCAGAGGCTCAGGAAGTCGACGAACGGGATCGTTATTCGCCATTACGTTATCCATTAAGCTTACCAATTCAATCGCATAATGAAGATTATGAAATTGGAACTGTTGCTGACAGTTCGACACCAGTGGCAGCGAGACGATCTTTCGATAGCAGTCGCGTTTCATCGAAGGAGGAAAAGCAGCGACAGAATGAAGAGAAGAAAACGCCGGCATCAACATCAAATACCGACGTTACGTTGAGTGCATTTGGCGTGGACTCATCATCGGTGTCATCGGAAACGGGCAGCTGGGAAGCCGTTTATCCACCACCGCGAAAACCCAAATCGGATTCCGTTCCGGTCAAACCGCACGCAGGCGGTGAAATGAACTGTTTCATTGATGCATCATCTTTGTTGGACGACGGCGAAATCGCATTCACAAATACATTCAAAGCAAATCCATCGAGTGACACATACAAACACGCAACCACAAGCCATGAATTGAACGGTGGAGCACAAAAGAAGCCATCGAGCAGACATAGCAGTTTTGAAATGAATGACGACCAAACCAATGATATAAATAATACTCAGCACATGTCCTATTGTTGTGACAATGTCGAATTGAAGAAAAGCAAAGAGAATTTGAATGAGGAATTCGATCGTGATGAAGCCGAAGCACTTGTGATCAATTTATCGGATGAACAAAAATTGAGCACACAAAAGTCATTTGAATCGCATCGACCCGATATCAAGGACCAGTTTTCGTTAGAAAGCATATCGACTAATGGACCAAAACCGGTTTCGCTAAACATGCTAAATGAATTTGGTTCGGCCGTACAAAGGACTCGCAGCGACAGTGCAAAGGGTGATCAACGCCAAGAGAATGAACGCAAACAAGGCAATTTCCTATTTTCCAACTCGATTCAACAGTTTTCGGGGCATGTAATGACACCGAAAGTACCATACTTAGAGGAAAACCAGAGCGATTTCTCACTGCCCAGCATTCATTCCGGTGGCAGTGATTGTGCTAGTACTTTTGATACGAGTTCGCATATAAGTAGTGATCGCGATTCGCATGATTTGGCAGATTTATCGAATTTTTCCATTGGCAATTCATCGAAAGGTGACTCGGTTATCTACCCGGACACACCGCATAACTCAATTTTGCAAGTCAATCTATCGCGAAACAGTTTGGGGCCCAGTGATTCCGCGATTGCATCGTTATCATCGTCGGAGAGCAATGCGATTTCAATTCCATCGCATCGAAGGTCACACGATGACACTGTGCCGATATTGTCGGGGGGAGCATCGGTCAAAGATTTCACACCAAAACAATGTGAAAGTCCTTCAATGCAACGCAAAACGGAGAATTGTCCAATCATCTCACTCGGAATGTCGCCATTGGATTTTGAGACAAAACCAAAGCCAAGAGAACGGATCAGTAGTTTGGCATTGAATTCGTGGGTTGTTGATATGAGTGACTGCGGTAAAAAGAGTCGACGGCGTGGTAGCGAAAGCTCATCGGTTAGCATTGAATCGAATCCTCGCTTCTCTGATCCAAAACCAGATCGCAGTGGATCGAATAGTTCTTGCAAAGGATTTGGATACTATGTGTCGTTGAGCGACATGAATCCCACCTATCCAACCGACGAACATCTATCAAAATCTCTAAATTACTATTCGTCAAGTTCATCGTGTGCGTCGGCCGAACCGAAGAAAAAATCGACGGGTTTTTTTGTTGATTTTTCAAATAATGACTCGCACGCAACGAACACGCCGCCACCAAGTAATGATGCCTCGGAACAGGCGCAGAAGAATGAAGATAAAAAGAATATTTTCTCAATGTTTATTGATTTCGGCAATGATGATCACCGTAGCACCCATAAACGGGAATTAAATACAAAATCAGCGTACAATATTGTGAAAGGAAGCGATTCAACGTCAACTGAATCGCCGATTTTGAGCCGACGAAATCAGTCATATGATAGCCAACAATTATCAGACGAAAAAAATAAGCGACATTCATGGAATGCATCAAAAGAAGCGCCACATCTTGCGCATGTCAGAGAACATAAGCGATCGATTAGTACCTCTTCCGACAAAGGCATCATGAATATTTTAGATAAAATCCCACTGATTTCAAAGACATCCAGCATGTCAATTGATACACCGAATTCACCACACGATGACATTACATCCAAATCACTCAGCAGCTACTCAAACAATTCAATAACATCGCTATCGGTGCAATCGAGCGGCAGTAAATTTATGGAACACGATGAAAAAGGAACAGGAAGACGTCATCAAAAAGATGCTCGTATCAATGAAACATTTGATAAAAGCAGTCAGGGTTCGCTTACCGACGATATTCTTTCGAAGAATTCGTCGCCAGCTTCGCGTACAGACACAGACGATGCCACATTTCATAACGACAATGACGATACATTGCACGGTGATATTTCTGGATCGAATGTGATGGAAACAATTCCAGAGACCAAAGAAGCAGTCGTTTTGCGTCGACCACCAAATCAAAGTGGAACAAATAATAAATCTGAACGTCACACAATGGAAACATTGCAGGCCACGATCGAAAAACAAAAACAACTTTTGAATACCGTTTCCGAAGAAGTTTCATCATTTGTTAAGCTATCAGATATGGATAAACCAGCATCGAAGTTCGAATTACACAATTCCGAGTCAAGTCGACCAAAATCAGTGGGTTCAAGAATTGGCAAATTATTCAATCAGGCCGGAAATCGTAATACATGGCATCACATGTCAAAATCAACAGGTATGCTTCGATTCATCCCTATATTGAATTGCTTTGAATTGATTTGATAATTATTATCATCAAACATTAGAATGTAATGAAAAATGCTTTCAATCATGATGAATGTTTGGTTTGAATTTGTTCTGCTTTTCCATGTGTTTATTTTTTCTTTAGGAAACAACCTCTCCAATCTCGCTTCGTCGGCCGAAAACTTTAAAAGTTTGACCAGGATTTTTCCACATTTGGGCAAAGATTTGAGCAACAGTCTACCTATAAACTTTGAACAATCCACTTCAAACACTAGCCCCAACGAATATACAACGGATTTGTTCCATTCCGATCTGTCAACATCGAGTGCAACATCCAGTTTCAGTCGATCTGGGATTGGTAAATGATAGACACAATCTTCATTTTTCCTCCAATTTTCTTTCACACTAAGTTCTGTATCCAATGTCAATTTCAGATTCTGCCGACGAGTTCAGCCTTTCTGCAGTGCAGCCACGCCGGCTAGGTGAAGATCTATTGAAAATGTTTCTTCAGGAAATTGCAACGGACGTTGTAATCGAAGTGAATGGCCGAAGAATGAGAGCACACAAATGTATTTTACGTTCTCGTTGTCAGTATTTTGCTGCAATTTTGGCCGGTGGTTGGGTGAGCAGTAGTGCGGGAAATGTCATCTCATTGTCTGGATATTCGTATGGTGCAGTACATTTTGCCTTGTGTCACATTTATTCGGGCGCTGCGCATCCGCCAGACGGAATAAGTCTGATGGAATTGGCAGCGCTTGCCGATTTATTAGGTCTTGAAGGGTTAAAAGAGGTCGCCGCACATGCCCTAAAAACCAACTATTGCCACAGGTGAGAATCAAAAAGGCCACTTAAACGGCATATGACATTCGGGCTTAAATTTTCATTTACTGTTTCGATTTTCAGTTTCCATAAGCCTTGCAGCGGATGCATCGATGGAGTGATGCAAGTGTTTCCAGTCGCTTTGAATCAGGGTCTGGATGACTTGTATCGCAAGTGCTTGCGATGGGCGTGCAAGCATTACATGAAGGTTTGGCCATCCCGTGCATTTTCTCAGCTTCCATCTGAATTAGTCGTTCGATGCAAGCAGCATATAATCGCACACATGGTGAGTTGAAGAGATATGAAGTAACGTCTTCTATCATTTATGAGACATTCAACATTTCACTGGGAGTTCATACCATTGGCAAAACTGATTATTATACAATTAATCTTGGCTAATTCCACTTGTTAAAATTAACTTCTTTATCTTGCGTGTGTTTTTGTTTGTTTCAGACGTCGGAATCAGTGATTTATACATTGTTAGACTGTGATCATTTGCTTGCGTTGCTTGCACCATGTCGTTGGGCTAGCGGGATTGAGGCGAGTGTTCGTGATATTATTGAAGCTGGTCATGTGTATGTGACCGATCATTATGCCAGTTTAATAGCAAGTGATGGTTTCTTATCGTTGGGCCAAGGTCAAAGTTGGTAAGTGCGAGCAGCTGACACAATCGTATTAGAATATCTGAATGATTCTTTATTCGTATTGCAGGAACATTTCGCGCTTGGAAAACATGTTATTGCGTGCCGGTTCGTCATTAACAGCCGATCAAGCGTGTCGCAGTTATCAGCGAATTACGCGCTTGGACTCCGTTCTGAAAGCGAAAGTAAACAAATTACATACATCACGCATTGATAAAAGCATTTTTATGTCGGATTATGACAATGAAATTGACGGCGAAGATGAAGAAGAGCTCGATTGGAATCCCGATTTTATACGATTGGTCACTGAAATGATGTCGGCGGTTGAACAATGTTTGGTGCGACAATGCTCACGAGCGATGAAATGCAATCAATGGCAACGAATGGATGCTGAAATACAGAAGAAAGTACAAAAACTGGCATGTTTAACAGAATCAGTCGAACGACGCGTTATCCTACGACCGAAGGTTGGTTGCTTAACTGTTTATATCTGATATGTATCTGTATCACAAATTAGGCAATATCTCGCCGTTATACACATATAATATGTTCAAAAAAAATTCCAACAATTTACATGTGTATCGTTAGCCATATTTTGGGTCTCCTGTAAATGTGATCAATGCCCGTATAATAATAACTTAATTTATGATCAATTCTATCCAATATAAAATGCAAACTACTCTGGGTCTTTCATACGTTGATTGATAATTTCATTTATTTTCCCATACATATTTTAGTCTGTATCGAATGCGAGTAGCGTACCGAATAATAGGGCTCATGATTTGTACCAAGTAAAGATGGCCATCCAAGCGCACACCAAACGCTCACAGGAAGGTCACACATCAATCAAGAGTGCGCATGTGCAACAACAAGCGGCAAACGAAGCAAAAACGATAAGTGGTCCTGGTACGTAAGAATAAAGCATTCAACTTCTAATCAAACATACTAATTCAAATATGTTGGCTGCACTCCATACAGGCAAGGTAACAAAAACATCATCTCGTTCACAAGTTCCCGATCTCATTTCAACCATAAAGCAACCGAAATCGAGTGTGCAACCGAAGCCGGAACCAAAAACAACGGTGACTGTGTATCGTCGATCGACTTCAGAATCTGGTAAGCGTATTCGATCCAATCCATTGGAAAAGTCGGCTAGCTCAGTTGATACGCATGCACGTAAGAAGGACAATTACCATGATGTGAAGTCTCGATACATGGAACCACAAAAGCGGCAAGTAAACAACATCAATAAGGAAACGCTAAAAGTGCGTGCGCGTTCATCGAGTGGAAGTTCAAGAACGTCGAGCCCGGTGGTATCATCGCTAATCAGAGACGGAAGTACCAATCAAACAAACAAAAAGTTGAACGACTCAACGACAATGTCACGTGATAGTTTGGCATCGCCTGCGAAGAAAAATGATAGATTGTACACGAATCGAAATGCACCTCAGCACGGTGATCATGAACGTTTATCTGCCGACTCATTGGGCGGTTCACTTCACAGCTCTGTTGTCACGAACAAAACGGAATCGCAAGAATCACTTGTCTTGACGAAAATCGATTTACGACCTGACGCAAAAGTAAATAAAATTGAAAATGACAAGCAAAATCAAGTTCATACGAAAATTGTGCCGGTCGTCGGCAAAAATGCTCAGCTGAAAGTATGTAGTGCATTAATATCACAAACATCATCGACAGTCAATTCGTCGACCCCTTCATCAATGACAGTTAAAAGCTATTTATCAAGCAATAGCTCGACGCGTGATGCAATTATAAATCGCTTAACGACACCAGCAAATCAAATTCCACTGAAACGAAGCACCGAACCAAAACCACCAATGAAAAGTTTTTTGAGTGCACGATCGCGGAAAATTCTAGCGCAGAAAAAATCACTCTCCCATTCCGATAGTTCAAAGTCAGTACCCGCTGTTATAAAGGATTCGACCGTCGTTCCATCTTCAAACGCCGTGAATAAATCAAGCTCGACTTCAAATATACAAAATCAAAAAACAAAAAATATCCCAACCACACTTCATTTACGACGATCCGCCAAGAGCGCAGCCCAACAGCAACCACTTCTACCAGTTAGTTCGGCCAAAACAAGTGTTCGTCCACCAAATCCATCTTTGATGAATCCAACGAAAAGTAGCGCATTGAAAATGACAACGTCAAACAATAAAGTCAATCGAGAGAATCGATCGGTCAAGGAACGAAAACAAAGTAGTAGTTCATATGAGAATCGGCCACCATCGGACGGAAACTATGACAGCACGAATGAGACTGATGTTGGTGAAGAAGAAGCAGGGCGACACATCAAATCGCAATTAGAACGTTCGAGTACATTCTGTAAAGAACGTTCCGATATCAATACAAACGAACTTGAAGTGATCGACTAAACATCTATTTCTAAGCCAATCATTCTTGAGAAAATTTCTAACAAAAACTATACAATACATACACAAACAAACATACAACATCTAGAAAATGAAAGAATCTGACGAATACCGACTATAAATATAATTTAAAGAGTGCTAGGAAAATTCGACCTCGGCCATATTTCATTTCTAAAATGTATTTTGCGTATTTAAAACAAGCTACAATACATAGACCAGAGATTTTATGATTCCCATAATAAAGCAATTGATTACATAATGTTTAATGAAAGAAATTTGAAGAGAAACAAACAACAACAACAACAAGAAATTACTTAAGGGAAAAATGGATAAAGAAATGTGTTGAGAGTAAGCTTAAAGCAATTTCAACATACTAACTCCCTAATATTTATAAATTCTAGTCATTTTTCAAGAGATATTAGTTCTTACTTACACGTGTACTAAGCTGTTTATTTAAAAAAAAATCAATTGCTAAAACATAGAAGCTAAACCAAATGATATTTATCATCATCGACAGCATCATCATCACAAACCAATCAGATTTTTTTTTAATTTTCAACAAAATTGATTTAAATATATTTGTATATGAATCAGATATATTCCAATGCGAAGAGAACATTTGAAATTTTTTACGAAAAAAAAAATCAGGAACACAGACATTTATTCCATCGTTTGTTTTTATCAAAACAAACAACTGTTATAATCATATTGCTTATGTGACAATTAACAATTTAACAATAAAATGAACATTTGAATGCTTTCATGTAAGACGTGAGTTTTATTCCGGTAACAAGTAGAAATGATATATGAATAACGATTCGAAAAAGAGTTTTTTTTTCCATTCAAATCGATGGAATTACACTGTGAATAATGTAAATGAAATGGTTTTTTGTTACTGCTATTCAAGCAACGCCATCTGTGGGAAATACATAGTAAATTATTTGGCTTTTTGTGCAACTGTAATGCCAATTGAGGGGCTCAGAGGAAAAATGTTACGTAGAAAAGTTCCGCGGAAAAATATTCGGGAGCTAAATGGTATCATTTAGCACCGCTAAATGATATCATTTAGCTCACCTAAATGGTATCATTTGGCTTTAGCAGACCTAAATGGTATCATTTAGCTCTGCTAAATGGTATCATTTAGCTTTAGCAGAGCTAAATGGTATCATATTTAGGTGATACCATTTAGGTGAGCTAAATGATATCATTTAGCTCCCGAATATTTTTCCGCGGAACTTTTCTACGTAACATTTTTCCTCTGAGCCCCTCAATTGCCCATGAAGAAAATTTTCGGTGGAAAATACCCCTTTTCTATTTATAATACAAAAAATAAATTAAATAAAAATCAGTTTGTATGTTTCGTATCCAGTACGAATAAAAATAACCTGTATTGTTCAAAAAATATTTGGCTGTAACAGATTTGCACTATTTATTTCACTACTGCTGTTGTTATCACAAAACAAAAACAAAATGAATTAACTCAATTCGAACTTCTTTCAATTTTTCAACAATATGCTTACAAATGGAATAGTGAACGTGGATGAATCATTGATTTTTTTTTCGTCCGAAAATCGGTTCAACAAGTTATACCAAATAATTTAATTATAGTAAAAAAATAATCCAAAAAGTTCCAATAAACTTCTGGAGCAAGATTCGTATTTTAATCGCTTTTCAACAAAAAAAGATTTCAATTAGATATTATCAGCTGATGAACTTCGAAAGAACAGGACCGCGTCATGAATTGTTGGAAAAACCGAAAATTTTCCTATTGACAACACTTCAGCATACCTGATTGTGTCTACTAAACGATCATTTGGACCACTTAAGTACATAACAGTATTCGATAAAAGTAAATCAGTTTGAATTTCAGCAAACACCTTACACGCTGCCACATCGATGTGCGACACACATGACAGGTCAACAATAATTGCGTGTGGCTGTAGCTTTTTTAAGACATCATCGCCATCCGTCCCATTCAATTCGGTGGTTTTTGGCCGAAATTCGCCAACCTTTTTGTACAACAATCGTTTGAATGAACTGGCCGAGGCGAAATTTATAGCACCAATATATTGGAAAATTTTTATGTTCGGCAATTGAACAGCTTTTTTGTGCGTTTCAATATTCACATAAAGTCCCGTATTATTATCTATTGCACCCAACAGAGCACATGACGATCGCCAACCTTTGATATAAATTCCTAACAGTGAGCAACCTATGCCGAAAACAAGTCTGAGAAAAAGGCGATAGAAAAAAAATATTGAACTTTTCGTTTGTTCATCTGGTAATTAGTTTTCTGTGTATCGACTCACCCGATATCTACGTCAACTAACACAACAGCCCAGAATGTCACAAACCAAGTGAATGACTCAATTTTGCTCTCCTTATGGAATCGCTTTAATTGAAGCGCCTGTGTGTACATTCCTTTTAGAGCGACCACAATAATTCCCGATAGCACACACTGGAAAAATGGAAAACAGGGCAGTTGTTAATCGTAGCAATTATATCTCAATGATCATGATTATTACTCTGGGCAAATCTTCAAAAAATGGTGCTATCCACATCAGTATAATAAGAATAAGAAACGATGAGACAACGGAAGCGATTTGAGTTCGACCCCCCGTTTGTTCCTGAATTAGTGAACGCGATAGAGAAGTGGCGTTTGGAACGCATGACAGCATGCCGCCAACAATGTTTGATAGTCCCTGAAAAAAAAAAAATTAATTGAAAATTATATAGTAGCAATGCCGAAGCAGAAAAAATAAGGAAATCGTTTTTTCTGCGATAATTGAAAAAAAAACTCACCATGGCCAACAACTCCTGGTTCGGCCGTACTTCATAGTTTTGTTTCTTTGCAAAAATCATAGCCATCGAAATAGTAACCGTGTAACTAACAATGGCAATGGCAATTGAGTCGATTGCGACTAACCAGAGCAGTTTTACGGGTGGCATTATGGGATGTGGCAGTCCCATGGGTATGTGACCGACTAGTTTGACATTATGCTCATTGCCTAGATCGAATACACTGGATATCAATGTACCACCTACTACCGCGATTAATTCGGCGGGTATGGGGAACATGCAGATTTTTGAACATCGTGGCTGAAATTAGTGATTGTATCGAAGCCAAACCGTTAGCACAGTAATAGATTGGAAGCGTGTAATTTGTGAAGGGATGCTCAAGCAAATAGATACGGACAATGAAGCCACATTTCAATATTATCTCAACGTACAAAAATAAACTCACTTTGAATATTTCATTCATAATCACCATGAACAAAATTATACTGCCGGACAATATGACGGTGGTGATATTAGAATTGGGGATTTGGTATATGCAATCTACGACAGTCTGCAAAACAATCAACGAATTTTATATTAAAATTCTGAACGACCATTCCACACCAAGTGTAACAAAAATTGCAAATGACCTCTCCGATTTCGCTCAAACTTGGTGTATAAACTTCTTATGGCCAAAATCTCGCAAAGCCAAAAAATTAGGGTGACCTTCCCCACCTGATGAAAAGTTAGGGTGACCCAAATATTGAAAAAAATCGAATTCTTCGTCGAAAATTAGCCTAAGAATGGTCAATCCAAGATGCTTTTTGAACCTTGCCATTACTTCAAATATAACTCGGGAGATCGAGTGTCCAAATATACTGAAATAAGCTGTTAGCATGTGGTTGGACTTTTAATCTGCAGCATCAATATGAGTATCATTTGAAGTCTTGATTCAATTTTAAACAGGTCATTCTTAGGCTAATTTTCGACGAAGAATTCGAAAATGCAATCGTTTGTGGCCAAAAATGAGGTCCATTGCCATGATTTGGGCAGTTGTGGTGAGATTATGCGATTTTTTCACCTTCTTCTTCAATATTAGCCTCCCAAATGCCAAATTTGAACCATATAAATGAAACATGTTATATGCCACAAGAAACTAGACATCAAGCGCTACATTTTAGGAACACACCGCACCAGTGCTAGTGCCGTAGAAGCAGTTAAAAATGGTTGCATACTTGCAGGAGCATGATTTTTCAAACTGCCGACCTCGATTTGGGGCAGAAGGAAGGGTTTGATCAAGTTAAAATGTTCTACGCGTAAGTAGAATTTTCTACGCGGTTTCCGAATATTATAGTGATTTGGGGCTAAAAGCGGGTTTCTGCCCTGTTTTTGCCCTAAAATAGTGATTTTCGGTGATTTTTCGAGTTTTTAGCCTCCCCCTCCCTTCCAAAGGGGAGGGCAACCCAAAACATTATTATTTTTTGATTCGCTGGAGTCTGGCGAGAATTTTATCAGGACACTTCACCAGTGTCAGACCACCTATTTGGTGTGAAAAAAAAATAAGTAGTCCAAAAACCATGAAAAAATGGTAAATGGTGAAAACAGCGAATTTTTTTCTCATAAAATATGAGGTGGCGGATAGTTGGGGAATATCGAAAAACTCAAGAATTTGAGGTGGGCCCAGTTTTAAGCCAAAAAAATCGAAAAAAAAATTTCACGTCAAAAAAGAGTTTGCCATTTTTATACTTTGAACCCACTTTTCAGAGCTTGGATGAGCCCGGATGGGGTTGTCGTAGTGGACTTTTTTGTAGCCCCATCGATTATCTATCCAACCGAGCATATAGTTTTGAAAGTTTGTACCACAATTTTCTAATGTAAAAAAGTCAAAAAGTGCCATTATTCATTTTTTTCAAAATTTGGGTCACCCTAACTTTTCATCAGGTGGGGAAGGTCACCCTAATTTTTTGGCTTAGCGAGTTTTTGGCCATAAGAAGTTTATACACCAAGTTTGAGCGAAATCGGAGAGGTCATCTGCAATTTATGTTACACTTGGTGTGGAATGGTCGTGAAGTGAATGACAATAATTTTGAACAGTTACATAAATAATTTTGAAGGCCCCTTGGCGTCTTGATATTTGGATACCAAATAAGTCTTTAACGGGTGATTGGACAACGGAACGGTGACATGAAAAAAATGAAATTAAATGTTATTATTATTACAAAGGTACGGGGGATTTCAAGCAATAAAACCTTTAAGTTGGCTAACGGTAACATGAACGGCTGCACCAGTTGTGAAACCATTGACAAGAGGTTCGCTGAGCAAACTAGCTAAACTTCCGAGTCGAAAAGAAGACATTAAAATCTGCAACAAAATATGATACAATAGTAAATAAGAGAATCGGTTCAAAACATATACGAGTCCAATAAATAAAATACCTGGTGTATACCACACATAAAGGCACACGCTGTAACAACCTGTATACTTGTATATTGGTCACCTAATGCATTTGTAGCTATCGATAATGGTGCCGTTGTGTTTGTATTCGATAATACCGTCGCCTTATCCGGTACATACGTATGAACAACTTTCAAAGTCATAAGACTAATAACAGACAACGTGCCTACAGAAATATGTCTCGAGGTGCCAAATATAAAATAAACTATAGTTGGGAAAACTGCCATGTATAAACCAGAGCTTGGACTCACACCGGCAAGTAAACCGTACGCCATGCCTAGACAGCATAAGAACAACAACAACAACAAGACACTGTTCAATTAAACTGACGTAATAGCACACGTGTCACAAGTGTAAATACCCTGTGGTATATGCATCACAGCCACCGTGATACCAGCTGATATGTCGCCGGCGAGATTGTTTTTCACTGAATACTTTGGGAGCCATCTTAGCACGGGAATTAAATTCAGCAAAAACTGTATGAAACTGAAATTATCGCAAAACTTCCTCACGTTAATGGTATCTGAAGAAGAGAAAAAATATTCAATAGTTAATCGCTTAATGGCCAAATTGCATAAAATGACAATGACCTACAGTTTCGTTGTGCTCGTTCCTGATATCCACTTTGTTCTGCCAATTCTTCTAGTCTCACCACCGATCGTTCTACCGAATAAAGCGGTAAATGTGTGTATTCTTTGTTCCCTTGATTCCTTTCAAGTGAGAAACAGAAAAAGAATAAAGACATCAAACAAACGGTCAAAAACCACTTTTCTACGTTTTACTCACTTGTCATTATGGTTCGTTTCATCCATAGTTTGTTGACGCAATAATTAATTGTTATAAAAGTACTGCAGTAAAATGGTAAATGTGTGGGTAATTTAGAAGAAGAAAAAAATCCAACAAAATGTTTATGTTACGCTACTAGCTATTTAGTGGAACCGCCGATCGACAAAATCTGTCGATTAGATGTCCCTCGTTTCTTGTGTGTTTTTCCTAATTTTTGAAGATTTTTCGCCTCATTTTTGGGATATATCACACAGAATAATTGGTCTTAATTTCTCTTTCACGGTGGCAGCCAACCAAAATCACATCCAATTATGTCCGATCCAGTACATACGAATCGAGTTTATACAATGGGTTGCACAAGTTGAAGCAAAAGTGTGCTCGATTGCTCAATTAATAATCTTGTTGAAATTGATGTGTTTAATCTGTGTAACGTACAATCGAGCGCATTTCGATCACTACGTCATAAATACAGATAACGGGTAATCAGAGAGAACAAAACGTTGACATGAAAAAGAAAAAAATGAGTATATAAACATTAGTATTAAAAAAAAGAATTTTTTCCAAAATAAATATCCGCATTAAATTTGTGATGCAATTGAATAAAATGGGGATTACATCAATCAAACACGTGTGACCGCAACATTATACAAAATAGATGCACACACACATGCGATTCAAATAAGATTCCCTCGCATCGATCGAACGACGTCGAGCAACAATTATTGGCGCTGACTAAAGTGGTTTTACGATGTTTGTTTACAATTACAACCAGACTGTCAACTCATTTCGATTTTTTTTTCTTTGTACGATAAAATATGATAACGCAAAGAAATGAAACCGAAGTTCAAAAACCTACAATTTCACAAAAAAAAACACTGACGATTATTCTTTGTTCCTTAATCATTCAAAAGCGATGTGTCGTAATATACGGGAAACAACATATGTACTGAAAAAATGAGATTTTCCGACATAAAAACGAAATAAACACGACATCTGATGCAATCTACGCAAATTCAATTGAGATAATCAAATTGTGTAAAATGAGAACCCAATAAAAAAAATATGACAAAAATGGCTTCACCATTTTCAGTCACGCAAATAGTTCTAATTTTTTTTAGAATCGTTCTAGCGCATACATTGACGCACAACCATTAAGCATGTAATTTAGAAAGCACATTCACTGATAACGATGGTTGATAGTTCGAAGTTGTGATTTGACATGATACTGATTTTATCTCATGCTCTCTTACAATTGGCTTGTCATAATTGTTCAATTCTACCAATTATCAATTCCGCTTGAGTGTGACATGATGTTTTAGATACAGAAACAAGAAAGATTTGGCCGAATTAATCGCTGACGCAAAAATACTTGTCAGAATGTTCGGCTGCACAGCCATTTTTAAGCAATGAATAGCAATTTATTATGGTGAACAATTTACTTCGATTAGTTCGATCCATATTTGCATTTTTTTTAGTTATACATACATCGGCAGTTAATTTGATTTTATAACCGAATTTCTATCTATGTCGAGAAAAAACGAGAGAAAAAAGAATAATTTTTCCAAAGATAAAATATACACTTTTCAGTCTGAATAAGAACTGAACGGAAAACTTTGGATTAGAACCCTTTTATACCACCTAATTATCAGCAGTGCAGTGAATGTAATGGAAATGTACTGAAAATTGTGACGAAAAGTCGGATTTTGCGTGATAATTGTTTACACCATTATTACCAGACTCATTGTCGCTTCATCAATTGCACCAATTAGATCGTTCAGGCGAAAATCGGGTGAATCATTGTTGACAGAAAAAAAAGTGAGAGTGAGAGAGAAAAAAAAACAAGCATTGTTTTGTCTCAGCACAAAGGAAGTTTGTTTTCAAAATTATCTTTACAATGTTTAGCATTCAATGCCTTGTTTAACCTATTTTTATTCGTCTAAATTAATACAATTGCGCGACTGTATGCGTTTGTCATATGTTCAATTAAAATGCCGATTGAAATTTTATTGGTATAAAGTGGAAATCGTCGTCTTTTTTTTACAAATTGCGTAATTACGGCATTGATGGAAAATTCTCGTTGGTCCAAACATAAATCATGCAGCACAAGTGAACAGCTGATTATTATTGAATTCGATTCGGATGATATGGTCTTAATGAATTTGTGGTGTTTTTAAGCATATGCAATTGATGTCTCGGCCGTAGTAAATTTATCATGTTGATGTCGCCTTTGAAATGTGCTAATTGCATTGGGCAAACGCCATGGATCGATTCACTTGAGCAATCAAATGGATTTTCGGTTGGCATTTCCAAAGTCAAATAGAATTTTGCAATGGCGGTATTCCCTTGGAGTGTGGCCACACATAACGGTGACAATATCCCAGTTGAATTGAATTCATTGAAATCAAAATGAGCGAGAATCATATTGCACGTCTCAATATTACCGGAATATGTAGCCAATGTCAATGCATTTTGACCTTGAATAGCAAAACGGATAAACGAAATTTGTTGTATTGATTCGATTGGATATCATGTGATTACGGGATATTTACCAAAAACATTTATACGCTGATGATTAGCACCCAGTGCAAGCAAATAGCTGACGATTTGACTTCGACCGCAATAACACGCATAGAGCAATGGAGTGTTTGAGAATCGGTCGTTGTATTCTAATGCATCTGGATTTTTCTTCAACACTGTTTGCAAACCAATCAAATCGTTGCGTAAAATGAATCCAAACACATGATGACAAATGCTTTCCATTGTGGTATTCTTTGTATCGGAATTTTATTTCAACAAATTGTTATCAAGCAATTTCACTAATTTTTGTTTCGTTGTAAATGTGCAGGGGATCACGTGTAAATAGTTATTTTCTTTGTTTTATATTTATTATTGCTGAATTTCGAAAGAAAAATTATGAAATTTGGTGTCAAACTATTCAGAATTATAACCGCAATCGTTTTGGTTTTCGTCCGAAGAAATGTGTTGAGTTGAAATGTACTTAAGCCGAGACAGAGTACGTTGGTTACATTGCAAACGGTAATTATTAACTGAATGATTAACGGGCAAATGAGAACAGTAGCATGTTGTCAAGAAGGTGCTGTCGTTACACCGATTTCTTGACATTGTCACATTTTTGTTTCACATCAATTCTTATTGGGTGGTCAGATTGCAACTGGCTAAATACACATAAGCCGGTATTTCATATACATTTGTTGAATGGTTAGTTTTCAAATTGAGAAATAATGTTTGTAGTACATAGAGTATCGTCGGCATAAAAATTGGGAATGTATGCGATTAAGCACGGACATGAAAGCGTTGAACAGATTTTGCATTGTGGCCATTGGTTGCGTTTTTGACTGATATCTTGATTTAGAGTGTTGAGTAAAATGTCTAAGAAAAAGTTTATGTCTATTTACTCAATTTGGCTACTGCATTCACCGAACTAATATTGACATTCTGCTCTCCCGCTCTCTCTCTCTCTCTCTCTCTCTCTCTCTCTCTCTCTCTCTCTCTCTCTCTCTCTATATGTTCGTTGCAAATTAAACTGGCAATGTTTGTATAATTATCGTTTTTTCCAGTTTTCTTTGGGGGCACACAATTACTCGGAAATTCGGATTCATAGGAAATAACCAGCAACCACTAAATCCAATATGGTTTTTGCAAATCAGTTTACTACCTTTTCTAATACAGCAGTTCAATTGTTATCTCGTATGTGTGTGTGTGTCCGGTTTTTGCTTACTGTCAACTGTTTTTTTGTAAATGGATTGACAATGGATACGTATTGGTTATAATTGTAGTTTGAAATAATAGCATCAATTATTAACATACAAGGTGGTCAATGGTTATTATTCGTTGAATAATCATCAATCCGGTGTATCAGTGTTTGCTTGATTTTTTTTTTTCTGTTTTTGATGACCTTTTTCAATCCAGAAAACATGTTTTTGTTTTAAATTTCGACAACAACAAAATCTCGCAAAACGAATAAAAAAATGACAATGGAGAGATAAATGTCATAATTTTAGCCGAATGGATACATCATTTTGAATGAAAACCAGATTTCAATTCAGTGAGAATTTCTTATAACATTTCGACTTTATGCATGAATATAAGCAAAAAGACACTACTAATATTGGTATATAAAAAAATGATCGGAAAAAAAGTGACACATGTACATTTATTGTGTTCACTGGAAATTGAATTGTGATCGTTGTCGAGTTTAATTAGCACTTGAAAAAATGAATTTCTGAAGTCACACAGCACCTAATTACATTGTATCACATATATATTTTCCGTTCGAGTTCATAGCGTAAGTTGCAGTTCACTGTATTACATTAGCCAGAGAGTAGAGAAACGGTGTGTTTCGCTGACATTCGTCGGAAGTATATATGTTTCCGATCATATGTTGTTAGACGTTTTCTTTTATGTATACACATATGTTTTAATGTGTATCACAATTCCTATGCTATGCTAGTAAGATCGAAACGCTGAAGGTCACAAACAACATTCAGCCTCGATCTACAACTAAGAAATAGAATTGCACGCATGTGCGAGTTTGTACATAATTTCAAAAGCAACGGTCAGATTCACACACTACTCTACTCAAGTTCATTTATCAATGAATGAAAGAGCTACATTTTTCCTTAAAATTCCATGCGGTGTATTGAGTATTTGTGGGTGACAATTCTATGGTATAAAGGAAGCTCATTCAAATATCAATTGATTTACATCGGAAAATCGTTCGAAATAAACGCTAATTTATGATCATTGATGCATTCAACGGCAAAATTTAAATGCAAACACAAACAGTCGAAAAATACGCACCTTCTCAACGCAATTAATGGCAACTTTTTCATTTAAATGTAAATCTATAACGCACATTTTAAACATTGATTTAAATAAACAACAACAATATGTATCCCCGAACTAAATTAATTTCACTAAATGATTTAGCACTCATTTCGTTTCATTACTAATTTCTGATGGTAAATATGTGAGTGAGTCGCGGGTTAACACCATCTAATTTGAATTGAAAAAAGTTATCGAAATTGTTCACAATCGATTCGATGGGGATTGTTTGAGAATTCAAAGCAAAAATAAGCGGTGGATTAATCGCGAATTTTGAAATACACCTGGATATTATGCACCAACCTGAGACCGTACGTCAACGACTACGTGTTTCAAAGAAATTCGATTGTTATTGTTTGAGAGACAATTTGACACTAGACTCTTTCTCAATGACATGCGCAACACTGAATCGAACATTTGATTTGTGCTCCTGTTATAATGAATGTTCCCGCTTGTGCCTTTGTATGTGTAAGTAAGCTAGCACTATTAATGTGTATAGTTTCATATGATATGATATGACATAATTTCATTTCTACAAAGAATAACAACAAAAAATTTACGTAAACTATAATCGCGAAGTCAACAAATCAATCATCAATGGGGTTCATGATATCGATAGCATTTAATTAATCGATTATTTTCTTCAGAAACATAAACAGATGATGTGAACCCGAATTTTTTTTAAAAAATAATATCAAATGGAATATTATTGGAAATTTTGCTTAAAAACGATATTACTTTACAATCGAAAAGAGATGAAATCTATAAAAAAGATAATCACATTGTCGAATTGCCGAATACACGGGCATGCGATCATGCCTTGCCATGTGTGCTTGTGTATGTTTTGGATCAGCTGTGTGCGCATGAGAATGTATTGGTGAGGTTTCGATTGGCTTTGAATTTCAAATATTTTGTTCCACACAATAGATACTAGTGTGAAATTCGTTCGAGCTATCTTTCGAATTGCTTTCCATTTTCGATGTTCTAAATTGTCTCTGTCTCACTCTCTCTCCTTCTCTCTCCCTCCGCCTTCAGTTTTAGTATCGATTCGAATGCTTTCAATTTTACGTCGATAAATACCATTTATCACCAATATTATCCATCGACCAAGTTAAAATGTCATAGTCTCACCACAGACCGGACAATTTACCGCACTATAAATACCATTCACTGAAATATTCATAAACAGTTCAAAATCAAAACAATCAATTTGTGATTCGTTCAATAAAGTATTTATTCGAATTTATGCCTATGTTTTGTTTCCGCTAATCGAATCCATTATCTAGCATATTATGAAATCACAACACGTCACAGGCTACATGCAAATATTGTTTGCATTGTGGTTCCCTTTATGTCTTAATAATTGTTTTTTTTTAAATTTCATTTCATTCGAGTGTAGTGAATCTACGCGGTGTTGATAAATTTTCATTCAATTTGCTCGTAGCCTAGTAGCGGTGACGTTGATAATGCATTGGCGGCATTGAAGCTGGTTGCGATTGTGGAGGCTGCTGGTGTGAAGCTGACGGCGGTGCACGATTACTTGAAGAAGAAAAAACATGACTTAGTTGCTTGCAATTATTTCTTGCATCCATTTTGAAAATACTCACATTGTGTTATTTGTTGTCATGTATCCTTGTGTGATGCTTCCACTTGGCTTCATATTTTGAATTTGCTGAAACATTATATTTCCAATAAAAAGAAGAAAATTGTATTTTTCGTGAACATTTTTCATTGTTTTTTTTTCTTCAAATGAATAAATTGATGTTGAGTTTTTTTTTCCTGTCTTGACCTGATACGCACCTGTTGATTTTGTGGCGATATTGTGAGCATTCCCGATGACAACGACATTGGCATGCGATACATATTTTCGGAAATGTGAGTCGATTGTTGCACTGGTGGTGGTTGCTGCTTCTCCAAATGATAACCGCGCTCGTTCAGCTTCTCCAACGAAATCTGTTGGGCATGTGGCTTATGAGGTGGCGGTGGACCGCCGTGGCTTGACTGTTGCTGTATCTTTTGTGATTGTGAATGTTGTGAATGTTGTGAAACACTGAAATACGATGAAATTTTATGAATATTATTCGATTGATTGCTGACTGATCAAATCGTTTATGAAATGATTTGTTATTTTAGTTGTGAAAGCGATATAAAGTCAAAATTTTCTTAAGCACGAATTGCTTTGGCGAGAAAAATATGCGTCGATGAACTGTACGACTTATAATTTATCTTTCATATTTATAGTTATTGTAGGTATGAGGCTTTACCTTTGCAACGGTTTTCCCTTATCGTGTGATGTATTCGACGACTGAGACGTGGGCTGTTGATTCGACTGCGACTGATGTTGCGCCTGAGATTGTACCTGAGACGATTGTTGCTGTGACTATTCGGATCACATTTTGTTTTAGTGTGTTTTTTTTTCAAATCAACCGTAAAAAATCAATGCCATTCGAACTCGAACGGACAAAAACGCACGCAAAAAATGTACCTGCTCTGACGACAAAGCTTGTGATTGAGCTTGTTGTTGCGTTAACTCTGGATGATATGATGAAATCATTGGAATATTCATATTCGGTGCATAAGCCGGATACACGATCGACTGCCGTGAATCTTGTGAATTGGACGGATAATAAAGTGTTCCCGGTGGATTCTGGTACGTTGGCTCTGCAAAAACAATCAACAAATGATGAATCTGGTCGGTATATATGCAGAAAACGACTACGCCATAGCGGGACAAAACATTTGGCGGGTAAAGAATGTGCAAATGGGCCAAAAGGGATAAAGAATCATTGGGCGGATAAAATAAAAATTACAAATGCCAAATAAGGTGTGTGAAATGTTTGCTTGTGAGCATTTTTTAAAAATAAATTTTAAAGTGCAACTTTGCGGGTGAGTGTGGTTTGATTGTTTGTGTTTGGTTTCTGTAAAATCTTTTTTACAGAAGGATTTATGTGCGTATGTATGTGTATGTTTTGTTTTGGACCCCACAGAGAAAAAATAATAAGTTTTACAATTGTTTTGGAAGAAAAATAAACTCACTGTTCCATAAGACAGTACGAGCAATTTCACCGCCTCGTCTGCCATCCTCATGTTCTGTGAAAATAAGCGTTTGTTTGTTTTTTTATTCTTTTGTTTCATCATTGTGCGAACATACCATTAAAACGTACAGCATTTATCTCGATTTGCATACGTTAAACCAATCAAATTCATTCATTTCAATGCAAATCGAATAATCAATTTTGTAAAAAGCCGAATTTTAAGAAGAAATGCCGTAAAGAAATCAAAATTTGCCTAGTTTTTGTGTGTTCAACATACGAAATTTTGATGATTATTTGTGGGTGAACGATGACCACTGTTCATTGACCAGTGATGTCATCAAGAATGTCTTTGATGAATCCTCCCCCAAAAAAAACTTACTTTGACTGGGCGGGTATGGTGGATTGTTGGTCTTATAGTATTGTGGCGTTGGTGATGGACTTCGGCCACGTTTGTTTGGTGGTGTTGCACTCATCGGCGGTGGACCACTTTGCAAATACTAGGTGTGCAATTGAATATTGTTTCGTTACATAATGTTCAATCGAATTGCATATATCAGTAAATGAATCATACCTTTTGCATCAGCTGTGGTGCACGCGGTGGCAAAAAAATTTGTTGATGTGACCCTTGTTGCTGGACAATGCTTTGCAATGCAAACATCTCACTACAAAAAATCATTATCATTTTCTATAATTCCTCATCACATCTATGAGCGGAATATTTTCCGTCTTACCTATCCTTTTGTTGCTGCTGTTTCTTCCGGTTTTCATCTTCGTTCAGTACTTTTTTCAATCGTAAAAACAATTGCTGCTTCTCGTTCCGCAATTCTTTGAGTCGTGTGTTGAGAATTTGAATTTGTTCCTTTGTTTCTCCCAATGTCATTGCATCTTGTCGATCACGTTCCTCTCGCTCTTTGCGCAAACGTTCCTCTTCTACTTCAGCCTCTTGTTCTGTGTAAATGCAAGATGTAACATGTATCTGGGTGTTTTGATTGAAACAATGAATACGCACCTTCTTTGATTTTTTGTCGCTCTCTCATTACATGCTCCTTGAGAGACTGCCACAGCAGTTCCTCTCGTTCCTTTTTAGCCGCCGGTTGCTCCGTGGCGGCTGGCATTTTCAAATACTTTTTGGCACTAATTATAAAATCGTATGAAAACTCTTCCAAAAAAAAATGTTGATATCAATCGGCTCCGATTGATATTTGCTGATTCGTTCTAGTCAGAAATCTCACTTTGATCGATCGAATCGTACAGTGAGACACTTGAACAAAACAGAATGAATATTAATGACGAAAAATATTGCGTTTATTGGGAGCGTCTATAATATACAATGCACCAAATAAATGCCACACAATGATGATTTTTTACTTATTTCAGTTTCTGTCACTTCTTTCTTTCATTTCTTCTTCTTCTTCTTCTTCTTCTTTTCATTTCTTGTTCTGCATACACACATAGCGACACAGCTAGCGACTTGATGACATTTCGAATTTCGAACATTACCAACGCTTCAGTGTACGAAATCTTCACTATCGACCAATTATATCAATCGTGGTCTGTGTTATCGGCCCGTAAATGAATTTAAATTGCAATTTTCTCCGTTTATTTTTGTTGTTTTTTTTATTGAAAGAAATTTTAATTTGAGATTGAATTCATTCAACATTTGGTACAATGATGAGTCATTTCCATAAGCACGTAAAATCAAGCTTGATTTCGAAGTTTTCCACCAGGAAAAAAGCACAAGAAATAGAATTGAAATGAACGGTGAACCAATTTCCAATGAATCATTTGCTCGATTGAGGAAATACGTAATAATGCACACACATAATGCCGAAGCCAAAGATAAGGCAATAATGATAAAATGAAAAGATTTGTGTTTGGCTTTAATTGATTTTATTTTGTATTCACGCGAATGAGAATTGAAAAGATAACGTTTGCTGTTTAGTTTTCTCTATGCAGTAACGATTCATCAATCAACATAATTGAAAATCAATACGAATCAGATTTCAATTAGAGAAATCGATTTTGATAAGAAACTTTATAATTAATTGTTTCGTTAAAATCCGATAATCTCATCCATTTAATACGTAACCGTCTCGAATTGCTACGTTACAACACGTGAACGATACCATTTTCTAATTAACGATTGATTTGAATGTGCCAAGTTTAGCATGTGAGAGTTTGGAAAAGCCAATCAAGAAATTGCCATATGATTGACGCAATCATTAACAACAGCAGGCCAGTTCAGCATCCCGCGTTTATTGTATATCTTATGCAACGGCAGCAGTAAGAGATGGGGGGGGAAGATTTTGAGTCGAGTGACACACAGGGTAACTATAAATGCCAACAGGTTTGCATGTATTAGAGTCGATTGGTGCTTTTATCGGATCAAAATGGATAAATTTGTCTCAGATTGACGGGTTTAAAGAGAGTTTTTGGCGTTATAGCTGTTCATGCGCTCATTTTTTACACCATCTTTAAGTATCACACCACTGCCCACACACAATATATGTATATATTTGCTCGATTGATATTTTTTCCTTCTCTTTATATATTTTCTCTCGGTCTGATTTCGTACGCGCATTTCATGTGAAATTTATTTGCTTTCTGTGATGCGGTAAAGCCCCACTCTTTGACTCTTTTTCCATCCAATTCTCTTACTCCCTTGCTCTCTTTCTTCCTACGTTCATCCATTAAATGTGAACAACACGAACACAAGAACAAAAGAAAAAAACGCTTCGGGGGAATAGTGTGTGAGTTCACTGCAAACTATTTGAAATTGTGTCATATTATTTTTCACCGATCCAATTGCAATTAAACAACAGCATGCACCATCGAGTTTAATCGAGCAAAAGGTAAAGATATGGCATCAATTTAATGTATAAACTAACTGTAACTTATTGAACACCTTGCACGACGTAAATTGAATGGAACGAAATGGTTTATTTCGAGTTTCTTTTTATTTGGGTCCTCTCGAATGATGACTGCATAGCGCACACAACACATAATAAGGAAGTCGTAGTTTTTCCGGTTTCATTTACGACGAATGTGGTGAGGATTCAATCGTCACGATTGTGACAAAGACGAAAAGTTATTTAATTGAATGAATGTGTGCGATTGCCATAGAAATTTTCCATTCGATGATTCGAACAGCCAAGTATTGACATGGTAAAGTTTTCCAAAGTACAGAGGCGTTCCAGGTTGAGAAAAAGTACATTTCTTTGTTTTTTTTTTGCTTCAGGTGAATTCGTTGGAACCAGTAGGGAAAAAATTGCTGATGACAAAACTTCAACAAAATACACAAAATGCAACAAAGGATTGGTTGTACCAACGGAAGTGGGACGTTTTCATTAATACTAACCCCTGAACATTTATTGATTACGATTTGTACTAAAAGTAAATGTTTAATAAAAACTCGTGTTCGGATATGATTTTGGTTAGTGGAGCAACTCCACAGTATTTATTCGATACGTATTTAAATTGTTAGGTGCCCCAAACTTTTGCACCTTTTGGAATAGGCTCATATTTTCAGAGAAAAAAATTGCATTCGGGATCTCACATGCGTTAGGTATTAACCCAAAATGCACTCAAGTGATAATGACGTCAAATGGAAAATCATATTCAACACATCAAATGTCACATAAATTCACACGACTGATATAATCACTAATTTAACTCTCATTATTCGTTGAGAAAAATATGTGCGCATGAAACTTTCAGTCAGACGCTGCAAAATATGAACGGTGAACACGTACAAATAATATACGATTTCAATTTAATTACCTTTCATTCGATTGCCTCCTCCTCTCAGAGACATGAATGCTGCTTCAACACGTATGCAATCACACTCTCTACTAGAGAGCATCCACCATTGAGATGAAACATTCCTTTATTAATTAAATTTGAATCGCTTTTGTCAAATGAAAAGCACATGAGAAGCACTTACCGAAATTAAATTGGTCGTAATTTTGGATGTGATGGTGTACCCATCCAAATGGGAAACGAATCCCGGAAGCAAATGAATTAACTACAAATTGTGTGTCGAAAGGGGGAAAAGATCAAATTGGAGTGAGAGAGAACAACGCCTAAAATCAAAAATCATGATAATGAATAAACTACTTTGTTGCGTATGATTTTTCAATAAATCACACTGTGTCCCATGTTCGTCTCATAACCGAGAGACGGTATGTTTATTTTACTGTAAAAGGACAAGGTGCAAAACGTGCATCGCAAGACAATGATATCGAGTTCAGCGGTGACACTAAGAAGAAATACAACAGACCTTACATGCACCACATATGATATGGTAATGTACTTTTGTTCCTTGAACTGAACCAGTGACTGTATGTCATATGTGCGTCAGCGGTTTGTAGCCATTGCTAAATTGCCGGTATATGGAGAAGCAATTACAGATAGTATGATATGCATACGGTTGGTGTTAAACACTATCTGCCAAAATTCATTGAACTTAATCTTTGTTCTTACTGTGTAGCGCCCGCTATCAACTAAACAGTTTTTTGTTGTATTACATTAGCTGTGAGAAAATATTACAACAACATTCTATGTGGTGATCAGCTGACCGCAGGCGCCACACAGACGGAGTCAGTTCAGTTCGTAGAATTTTGGCGGATTTAGTATGCAAGTGCTCCAGTGTAGTGTGTGCGAGCAACGAGCACCAAATTTTAGCATCAACATCTATTGTGTCGGCAATGCGTTAACACCAACCAATCAACATAGTACACGAGCTCAATGGCAATTGCCGATGCGAGTGGTGTATTTCCAGAATATTTGGGTGCCGGTGCGACCACGTGTTTCATTGAACAGTTATGCGAATTATTGTATGTGAATGCGTTTGCTGAACGTAATGTAATGATTTTAGAAGATTTAGTCTTTGCAAATACTCCGCACGGCAAAGAACATTTTTCGAAATGGACGTAATCAAGGCAAGTAAATGTTAGCCATTGCCCTGGTTCAAATCAAACCATAAAAATTATTTAAAACATAGTGAACCTTTTGTGGTCGACAAAACGTCCTATCTAATTACCTACTCATATATTTTTCAGTGTGTTAATTTGTTCATTTTGCAAGTGTTTTTTCAAGAAGTGTATTGATACATTTTCATTAGCTTAAGCCATACATTATGCCGAGCAAATTTTCTTCGTACTTTTTTATGAATTTTATATAAATATGCATTTTACAACTAAAAGTATATTGTAAATTTTCAAGTGTATGCTGATATTTTATCTGTCCAAAAAATATTTACAGCCAAAATGCTCGTGGAAACTCTGGTATTATGATCAAAAGAAGAGCAAAACATGTGACAAACGTTTAACACCGATTGCAATGTTCAATCAGTTTGATAACTTTTACGACCTGTATACAATATTGCATTGATTATATATCTGGTTTTGTGATCCAAAAGGAACAGATATTATTACAATGGGTAACTCAAGTTTGTGATTCAATCATTTGCTTTCGGTTTGTCTATGTGTGTTTTTTTGTCTTTCCAAGGTATTTGGACCGCAATTCACAACAAGCCGAATATCAGCAAAATGCAGCGCATTCTGAACAAGGACAATAGAGTAAATAAAGTCATGTATGAGCAACGCAAGAAAACGGTTGGTTGACCAAAAAAAAAACAATTCCACAATTATATCCATGTTATATTTTCGATAGGAATCTGGGAATATTCCACTGACTACACTGTTAGGAAATACTTGGAAGTTCTGGCAATATGATCCCGAGAAAAATGCATCGAAACGAATCTCTATGTTTGACACATATGAAGAATTTTCCATTATCTACAGTCTAATTGAGCGAAATTCACAAATTATGAAGGGCAACAATTATTCGATTTTGAAAAAAGAAAGTACAGATAAACCTTAGCACTAGCAATCTGTGCCATTTTTCATAAGGCGTCTCCACTCGCATTGAGTTTGTATTGTGAATGTTAAGGTGCGTGCAACGCCCTTCAATGTAAAAAACAATACAAGTGGAGATGATACACGAGATTTATCTGTACTTTCACCGGCTTGGATCAATGAAACAAATAAAAACGCGGGCCAATGCATTGTAAATTTTTCAAATTCATTGAAGTTTGCCGAAATCGATAAATATTGGCAAGATGTAAAAATCATTGATCAGCAAATCCTTTGGTCCAAATGCTTGCGGTGTTGTGTTCAATATAATGGACGATTGCTATACAATCAGTATAGTGTTGGCTTCGAACGTTCGTTCGACCGTTCGACAATATAAAAAAAAATTGTTCGTTCGTTCGAAAGTTTTGTAAAAAATTATTTTGTTCGTTCGTTCGTTCGAAAAGTTGAAAATTATTTTTTTTGCTCGTTCGTTCGTTCGAAATTTATGAAAAAAAAATGTTGTTCGTTCGTTCGTTCGGAAATTGCTATGTTCGACCGTTGGGATTTTTACATTTGAAATACATAGGAAGCAAATACAATTTTGAT